ACTCTGCCCTCCCCCACTGCCCTCCCCTCCCTCTCTCATTCCACCCCCTCACTGATGGGAAGAGGGTGGTCACAGCAAACTGTTAACTTCCAGCTTAGACAGAACATGTTCACGTTACATCGGTGATGTGGCTGCTCTAGTGAGCTTGTTTCAGAGGGAGAGAAGTCTTCCTGAGTTGGCTGACCAGAATTCTAACCCTGCCTTGGCTTTTCTCTTTGCCTCTGAATTTGTTGATGTGGGAATAAAACTTACTCTGTGATTTTGAGTTTGTAGTTTTTCAGACACCAGAGATAAGGGAAAACCATGTGCATAAATTGTGCTAAGGAAAAAATGACCTAAGTAAGGAATAGAATTAGTTGCAGAAATCAGTGTACTCTAAGGAGGATGCATCACATCTTTTGGAATGCTAAGCACCATGTTAAAAACTTTGAAATTTGCCGGGGATTTAGCTCAGTGGTTCGGTGGCCTGCCTTGCAAGCGCAAGGACTGGAGTTCAATCCCTGGTACCAAAAAAAAAAAAAAACCCAAAAAAAAACAACTTTGAAATTTAAAAATATTCAGAGTAGTTTACCTATATATTTCTTAAATTACAACACATTTTATTCCATGCTTGACTCTGTTTGGGCTGTGACTTTCTTATCCGGACCTGTCAGGCTTCTGTCTGATTCGCAGCGATCTCCTCGCTTTCCGTCTCTGCGGGAAGTGTTACTGTGCCTTCTCCCCAGAGTGGTCTGTGTCACCGTTGCACAGTCGCCACAGGAGACAGTGTGATGCTTGTGTGTCCCGGGTGGGATACATTTAAGAAGAAAATCAGGATCACTGTTTCTTCTTTTTTTTTTGGTACCAGGGATCGAATTTGGGTCTTGCACTTGTGAGGCAGGCGGCGGCACCACTGAGCTAAATCCCCGGCCCAGGATTACTGTTTCTGTCGCAAGCATTTTATATCTCCTGACTCCCAGTAAGTTCCCTGCAGCCCTCAGCGTGTCGCTGAGGTAACAGAGAAGGAGTAAATGCGACACTAGGACTGGCAGTGAGTGCAGAATTAATCACTAGCAGGCCGCCTGGGGTGGACAGAAGCTCTGTGTTCGAGCACTCATCTAGCATGTGCAAGGCCCTGGGTTCCATCAGTACTAGAGAGAGGCAAACAAAATGGCAACCAAGAATGACTAAGAGGGCTATACCATGTGCATTATCTACTCGCTTAGCTACAGAAGAGGTGAAACTAAAATAAGCCTTGTTATGTGGGCGTATCGGAAGTCATTTTCATGTGAAACCAGAATTATTTTCAGTGAGTCTTAATTATTTCACAGTCTAATAATCCACCATGCATTTAATTTTTCAGTACAATGAATATGTGTTTTGCAAACATGACTAAAAGTAATCACTGATTTTACACATTTTCTTACGGATTATATAAGCATTTACACTTGAGGTATTTAGGAAGTTTAAAATACTCACAGTACTTCCTCAGCTGACCTTCTCTGCCCTTCACTTTCAGGTTACTCATTTCTGCTTGCCCCAGCTTCTTCCGCTGCTTAAACACACCACATCCTACCTCCACGAAGTCTTTGAGTTTTATGAGGAGATCCTCACATGTCGGTACCCGTACTCCTGCTTCAAGACCGTGTTCATTGACGAGGCTTATGTTGAAGTGGCTGCGTATGCGTCCATGAGCATTTTCAGGTTGGTGTCTCTTCAAGTTTGAAAAGCCGAAACTGGAGTCATGGTAGGAGGAAAAGTCGCTCATTTTCTGATCAGCTTTAAGTTGAACTTTTTCCTTTAATTCGATGTAGTTGACTTTGTAAAACAACAAGAGAAAGCAAGCCAACAAAAACTAGTGTTTTTAAACTTTTAAGTATCTAGAAGAACATGAAGAAAATTTTAAAGTAACTCAAAACTCATTCTAAACTAGAATTAACTGATATTAGCATTTTCCATATTTTTTTACACTCTTTCCTGTTTACATTTTTAAAAATGTTTATTATTATTATGTAGGTAACAAGGCTGTTTTTCTAATACTATTTAAAAATTTACTGATGTCATCAGAAATTTGTGGGAAAAACCGACTGTGAGAATGATTGTTTTTGGTGGTACTGGGGTTTGAACCCAGCGCCTCACACATGCCCAATAATCACTGTACCGCGTGCAGAGCTGCAGCCCCAGCCCTTTTTATTTTTATTTAAAGAATTTTTTTGGTACCAGGGATCAAACTTGGGTCCTTACACTTGCGAGGCGGAACCACTGAACTAAATCCCAGGCCCTTTATTTTTAAATCTTGAGCCAAGGTCTCCCTGAGTTGCCCAGCCTAGCTTTGAACTTGCAGTCCTCCCACCTCAGCCTCCCAGCAGCCTGGATTATGGACATACGGGCATTTTCGCCCACCCCCTCCCCCCTGGTCCCCTTCCCTGTGTCTCTTCCTTTATTTTTTGGGAAGTTCCAAGTCTGAGTTTTGTAGAAACAGGCATAATACTGCTGCTGCCTTCTCCAGAGTGTGTTAGAAAAGTTCACTGGGGTGGTGTACTTTACAGTGAATGATGGAGTGAAAATGTTCGTGGGTGTTGTTAAGATCTTTGAAATTAGACAGCCGCACCCCACTGGGTCAGCTCCTTTTCTACCACCCTAAAGCTCTGTGTTTCTGTGGTGCTCGGTGCCGACTTCATCTTTCTTGCTGTAGGCAGAAGTTGCTAAGATTATGACCCCAATTCCAGCTAAAGGTGGGGATATCAGGAAGCTCTTTGGAAGCCTCTTCTGATTTCTGTCTTCTGTGTTTAGCTTAAGTTCCATTTAACAGTGTGATTGTTTTCTTGACTGAAGAGTGGCTTACTTTTTGGCTGTAACGGGTCCCCCGCCTTGTGAATTGCAGCACCAACCTCCTGCACAGTGCCATGATCATCGATGAGACCCCTCTGACGAGGCGCTGCCTGGCACAGGCCTTGGCCCAGCAGTTTTTTGGATGCTTCATATCAAGGATGTCTTGGTGAGCGAGTCGTTCCCAGGTTCAGAGCTACCGACCGAGGAATCTCCAGGGTCGCTTCCTTTTCTCCCCTCCCCTCCCCCCCCCCTCCCCCTCTCTCTTCCCCTCTGAGAGCTGACCTCTGCCCTGGTTACACATAGCTAATTTGGAAGACAGTACTCTATATCTAAAGGAGGACAGTCTGAATGTCATCTACTTTTGGCCATAAAAGTGGAATAGATACTTCTGTAATTGACCATAAAAACCAGGGTAAAGTCTGATAAAATAGTCTGCAAGAACTGCGCGAAGACTGCAGGTGCAGGACCCGAGTGTTAGGAAATAGTGACAGTCCCAGCATCCGTCCATAGTGGTCACAGTGTGCAGAGCAGTGGAAGTTCCGGAGTCTGCGGGAGGCGGCTTGTCCTCCGCAGTGGCAGTGACGATGCAGGGACTTACTGGCCTGCTTCACCTGAGATGCACTTAAAGAAATGCGCAGGACTCCCATAGGGCACCTAATACTGGTGGTGGTGAGCCTCTGGCACGCGTGCCACAGCGGGCCCTCGAGCCAAGTTACCACAGCAGCCAGGCCTCGGAAGACAGTTGCTTTCCCCAAGTGAACCCTCAGTGCTCAGGTTAAATGCAGCGGTGACGCTTTGCCGCAGGTCAGTCTCTGAACAGTTCGCAGGCTGCATTATACTAACAAGCGTGTAGACCTGAGCTGCCTTTTCTTGGTGCTGGAAGGGGCAGCTTCTTCATGTGTGACTTCGGGTTGTGCCCCTGTCAGAGAGCTGCGCCTGTGTGGTGTGGCTGGACGACAGTGTGAGTGATGCGGTTGGTTCCCTCTCCCTGGAGAAGTGACAGGCTGCGGTGATGGCGCGGAGGACTGGGGTCTGTTGGCTGTGCCATGCAGCCCGCACGCGCGGGGTGGGTGGGAGAGGCAGCGCAAGCCTTGGGTGTCAGTCCCGGAGGAGCCCAGCGTGCAGCCGTACAGTGCCTGCCCCTGGGTCCTCCCTGCCTTTTACAGGGGTCTTTGTGGCCATGAGGCCCTCGAGGGACTCAGGGTCGCTCCGGCCAGAGCGCTGGGGCACAGAGCTAGGGTTGGACCCCAGTGCTGCACACGAAAATAAGTAAAATTAATAGTTTGAATTTTTGCCTAGGTCCGACGAATGGGTGCTGAAGGGAATTTCAGGCTACATTTATGGACTTTGGATGAAAAAAACTTTTGGTGTGAATGAGTACCGCCACTGGATCAAGGAGGTAACTACAGTCACGACAGTTGTCCACTCCCGAGTCCCTGCGATGTGTCAGTACTTTCCTGATTTCTGAGTCTCTTGTCCTTTCTTTTTAATTCCTGTCAAATATTTTCTAAATATCACTTGAAAAACCCCTATTTTTCCTTGTAAAATGCGAATTACTGGCAGGCGAAGGCAAGCAGTCTGCTTATGCATTTCCCGTTGTCAGCGTGCCCCCAAGGCTTCCCTCGCCCCGAGGAAGGGTCCACTTACATGCTACGTCAGCGTCCTTAGCTGTGTTGCAGCCCCCAGTTCTTTGCCGCTGGGCTGGTATATGTTTACCATCCAACAGGAATCAAGCCAAAAAGTTAAGCAGTGGGCGCTGTTATGGACGGCGACATCCAGAGCTGTGAGAACCGCTCTTCATTCTGGGAGAGGCCAGCGTGGGGCGCTGTCGCGCTCGGCCACGCTCTCCATGCGGAGCAGGGTATGGACGAGCTGACCGGGCCGTATCTGCTCCACCACACTGGCTGCCACTTCCACGTCTCTTCTGTGTTATTTAAGTGAATAATGAGTTTCTAGCACAATTGTGCTTTATCTTTTTTGAGGGAAGCCCGGAGAGATGTAAATATGGTTTCCTGACATCGTTTCTCCACGTCCCCCAGAGCAGGACCCTGGGAGGGCAGAAGCAGCCTCGGAAGTCGGTCGGAGCCGAGTGTGTGGAGCGGAACGGATCGGCAGCCCGCCGCCCACCCGGCTGGTGTCTCCATAGGGCCATAAACTCTTCTCGTGCTCATCTTAGGAAATGTATGGCTGACTGCAGGAGACAGTTTTACAGTTTGCTTCCAAAACTTGGTGTGTAAAAGCGTTTTTACTGACTTCTGTTTTTTAATCTTTTCTAGGAGTTGGATAAAATAGTGGCATACGAACTGAAAACCGGGGGAGTTTTGCTGCATCCCATATTTGGTGGCGGAAAAGAGAAGGATAAGTATGTTTGCTGTTCAGAGATGCTGTTACAGCGTGTGTTGTGTGGGGCCACTCGTGTGGAGGTGCACACGAGGCCAGAGAAGTAGCAACACTGAAAACCGTGACCTCCTCACTGCTCCTTCCTTGGTTTGCTGTTTGTTACGCATGAGATGCTGTGCGTGGATTTAAACTTAAGAGGACTGAAACTGAAGCATTTCTGATTTCTGTGTTTGCATCCCCATGCCACTGTGTCATAATATTCTCATGGAAGTTTAAGAATAATAAAAAGACGGAGGGCTGGGGATTTGGCTCAGTGGTTCTGCTGCCTGCCTTGGGAGCACAAGGACCTGAGTTTAATCCCTGGTTCAAAAAAAAAAGGTGAACATAGTGGTGTATGCCTATAGTTCAGCTCTCTGGGAGGCTGAGGCTGGAGGGTCACAAGTTTGAGCCCAGCCTGGGCAACTTAGTGACTTGTACTGTCTCAAAAAAATGAAAAAGAAGGGTAAGATTTAGCTTAGCACTGTATAAGGCCCTGGCTTATACAGTATCACGATAGATAGATAGCACAATGGATAGATGATAGATAGATAGGCAATATATATATATATTTTTTCTTTTGGGTACCGGGGATTTAACTCGAGTCCTTGCTCTTGCGAGGCAGGCAATGGATCCACTAAGCTAAATCCCCAGCCTAGATAATATATTTTGTTTCTGTGTCCCTGACGAAGTCTAGGTAATTTTGGCATCATGACAACCTCAAGGACTGTGGGTTGAATTGGATGGAAATTTTTTTCTCTGTTTCCCCATCACTTCCTAATTTAGCAGATTTTTTGATTCCCCCTTTGTATTTCTCTCTACATTGAGGTGGCTGCTGGATCCTATTACGTGTTGCATGTTATTGTACCATGTTTTTCTCATGCTCATCGTAGCTTGGTGTTAGTTTCCCTGGCAATGAAAAGTGGTTTTTCCCAGAGGCCCGTGGTTCGCTGTACCGCCCACCGTGCACAGGAGCTCTGAGGAGACGGCCCGGGCGCTTGCTCTCCCACGAGGGAAGTCTGTGGCCAGCCCAGGGCCCTGTTTCGCGGACGTGACATGCCGTGCTTGTGTGGAGTGCGGCAGGGGTGACCCTGCCCCACCTGCGAGGCTCATGGGATCAAGATGTGGGATCGCTGTTCCTCCTGTTCTGTCTCCTCCGCGGCTGCTGCTGCAGTTCCCAGTGCAGAGCTAGACTAGAGCATCCCTGTGTGTTGATATTACCCAGAATGCTTGGCCTGGTGCTGCTCCTCTGTTGTAATATTTTCAGTTTTAAAGATTTCTATATAAAAGCACTTGTACACATGCTCCTTGAAGAAATGCCAGACAATTTGGAAGCATGTGGTCTGAAGAAAAGACCCGGTTTTTTTTGTTGTCTTTCTTTTTGAGACAGGGCCTTGTTCTGAAATTCAGGCTGGCCTTGACCTTGCTTTGTAGCCTCGGTAGTCCTTGAACTTGTGGCAGTCCTCCTGCCTCAGCCTCCGGAGTGCTGGGATTTCAGGCGTGCAAACGGAGCTGGTTTAGCCCTCTTTCGCGGTGACTACAGCTTGGTGTACATCCCTCGCCTTTAGGTTATTTCTGGAGCTGACAGGGTGGCACGTGCCTTGTTGCCACAGCATCCAGGAGGCGAAGCCATCAGGATTGTCTGGAGTTTTAGTCTGGGCCAACCATTAAGATCCTGTCTCAAAAAGCCAAACAGATAATTTACCTGTATTTATGTGTGTTTAGCATTTAAGAAACATAAATGATATAAATGTTGTTTTATATTTTTAAAAATCAACAACAAGCATCCATGTGGCCACATTTACTTCATTCCTCCCACATGCTGTGTGATATTCCATTTTGCTTTGGCATTTATTTAACTTTTTCTTATTCTTATTCATCGTTAAAGCCTGTGAGCTCCTAATGCTTTAATTTTGGAAGTAGTAAGTGAAATATAACAATCACTTTATGTCCTGGAAATCGTGCCTTGCTGAGTTTTAAGGGTACACAGTGCAGCTTGTCTTAGCTGACGCTGCTGTAACTGAATGCCCCAGGGCGCTCGTTCCTAAGCAACAGGGACTCGCATCCAGGGCCAGGGGATCGGTGCGTGGGGAGGGGAGGGGCCTGCGTGACTGCCCCCTTGACGTCACCTCGGTGTCCTGCGTGAGAGGGGCGGAGCCGCTGACCGCTGCCCACTGACTGAGGGAGGGGCTCACTTGGCTCGGATTCTGAGAATCCGGTTCGGATTCTGCAGGGGCCTCCTGGCTGGTGCCCCACAACAGGCAGTGTGCACGTGCTTGGGCACACGGGAAAGGATCTCACGGCAGCCGTGCGTGCAGTCGTGAGAAGCACGCAAGGTAGTTGTTCATGTGTGTCCTGAGCGCTGCTCAGGCTCTTCTCCTCTTCCTGGTGATCCGATTATTCATATCAGAACCTTTTTACCGAGTTATTTTCATCTCGAGGTCCTGGATTTTGTATTTTTCATTAGGAAGAATTTTCAGGATTATAAGATAAAACAGTTTGCTGGATTGTCTTTCAGCACTTCCCTAATTGTTTTTGCATTTCTGTGTGTGCTTCAGCACTGGGACATTGGTTAGTGCAGTGATTTTATTGGTACATGGGGAGAGAATTTTTTTTGTTTTTGATACCGGGGATCAAACTTGGGACCTTGTGCTTGTGAGACCGGTGGTGAAACCACTGAGCTAAATCCCCAGCAATTTTTTTTTTTTTTTTTTTTGGTATTTTGAGACAGGATCTCACTGTGTAGCCCAGGCTGGTCTTGAACTCAGCAATCCTCCTGCCTCGGCCTCCCTAGTGCTGGGCTTACAGGTGTGCACAACCCAGCCTGGCTGGAAGAGAATGTAAAGACGTGGGGGTCCTGTCTTCCTGCCTGGGAGCTTGACATGTGTTTCTGTTTATTCAGGTTTTCCTTGTCCTTTAGCAAATCTTTATAATCTTCTTCCCGTTGTAGGGTTTCAAAGTAATAAGGAAATTACAGACGAGGTTCTTGATGTATGATCTCGTCACTCCCGTGACATTCCGTGCTCATGTGCCCGTCCGGTTTTGTTAAGTAAGTCTGCTTTTTTCTCTTTAGTCCAGCGTCCCATCTGCACTTCTCCATAAAGCACCCGCACACGCTGTCGTGGGAGTACTACACCATGTTCCAGTGCAAGGCTCACCTGGTGATGCGGCTGATTGAGAACAGGATCAGCATGGAGTTCATGCTCCAGGTAAGCAGAGGGCGGAGCCGCGCCGTGAGGGAGGCCGTGCCCCCGCCCCGCGCAGTGTGTGATGTTCCGAATGTGGACTGGCGTGTGAGCGGACGGCGAGCACTTACCACACAGCGTTGACCTGTGGTGCTTCGGCCTTTAGGACAGGATCCACGCAGGGATGTTTTCAGTAAAGAATCTTCACCTGTTGCTGAATTTTGCCGATTTTTTTTTTTTTTTTTTTTTTTTTTTTTTTAACAGGGATCAAACTCTGGACCTTGCGCTTGTGAGACAGGCAGCAGCACCACTGAGTTAAATCCCTGGCCCAGTTTTGCCTAATTTTAAAACATGTTTTCGTGTTAGCATGTAAGATGGCAGTTCGTGAGATGGCGGGTGAGAGAGCAGAGGTGAGCGCGCACTGTGACTGGCTGTACCGGTGGAGGCGGTGGAAGCTTACCGGACATTTGTGAAAGCGAAAGCGCTGGCCGGGAGGTGTGGCTGAGGGGAAAGGCTGGCCTGCCCGTGCTTCTGCCGGTGAGGCCTTGTGCCCGGCGCCGAACTGCAGGGAGAGGTAGACAGCAGGGAAGTCTGCCCCGCCCGGAATGTAGTCAGTCCGTGTGTCGTCATCTGTGCCCGTCCGTCCGTGCCCCCCCATTGGAGAACACAGAAGAGGGTCTGTGCGAGTCCGTCCCCTTTTCCAATCCCACAACCCTAATGCAGAGCCTTACTGAATCGGGGCATAGTGGGGGTTATACCCCGAGGTCTCCCGTGTGCTTGATGGCTGCTGTCACGAGCCATGCCCAGTTCCCCACTCCCACCTGGCTTTCATCAGAGAAAGCGCAGACAGATTACTGCTCGCTAAGACAGTGGTAGGCTTCTGCTAAGTGCCTTTCACGCCTCGCACAGTGAGCTGCAGGTGTTCTACATTGTTCCGATCCTTTATTTTTTGGTTTGATTTTTTGAGACAGAGTCTCACTATGTAGTTGAGACTGACCTGGATCTCACTCTATAGCCCAGGCTGGTCTCGAACTCCCGGTCATCCTCCTGCCTCAGCCTCCTGAGTGCTGGGATGACAGGCGTGCGCCACCACACCTGGCTCGACATTGTTCCAGTTCTTAACAGACAGCTTCTTTGGGACCTCATGACATCCGGGGATGTTTGTGTGAAGAATGCTTTCCGTGGGGGCTTAAATCTCTGCATCTCTGTTGCTTCTAGTGTTTAACTAGAGCGATTTATGTGCTAAGATAACTGACCACGGTAAAGCTGAAGTGCAGAGCAGGCGCCGCACACAGCTGCAAGCAGTGCGCTGGGTGAGCTCACTGACCGGTGCCGTCGTCCGCTCAGGTCTTCAATAAGCTGCTGAGTCTGGCCAGCACCGCTTCGTCCCAGAAGTTCCAGTCTCACATGTGGAGTCAGATGCTGGTCTCCACGTCTGGATTTTTGAAATCTATTTCAAACGTCTCTGGCAAGGACATCCAGCCCTTAATAAAGCAGTGGGTGTATCCTTTCATAGCACTTCCGGACTGGGGAGGGGGCGTGGTGGATGCGAGGCCGTCGGGGATTCGCAGGGCTGAGGCAGTGTGAAGTGAGCATTTCCGAAGCGCAGTGGGGAGCACCGTGCCGTGAGTCACGGCCTCTGTAGCATGTGCCCGTGGCTGAAGTGCACGCACAGAAACTCGCTGTTTGTGTGTACGCAGTGCGGCACGCCCGGAAGCCTCTCGGGTGTCCCGGAGCCTCGTGATTGGTGAGCAGCGGGCTGATTCTTCCTCTTCCGAAGCACAGATTTTTCAGTGTTCAGAAATCTTGTTGAAATCCGGGCAGTGTTTTGCGAAGCATCTTGCGTGCTTTGCCCCCGGTTACCTTGGAAAGTGCGTCCAGGCTGTGACCTGGGGGCCAGAGGCGAAGACGACGGTCACGCCGTCCGGGATCCCTTGTTCGGTGTCCTTGTGTCCTCGTGGTGTGGCGATTTCCTTTACGGTTCTCCAGAGACCAGAGCGGGGTGGTGAAATTCTACGGAAGCTTCGCATTTAACAGGAAGCGAAACGTCTTAGAACTAGAAATCAAGCAAGATTACACTTCTCCTGGGACTCAGAAATACGTGGTAGGTGTTTTTCTAACACGGCCTTTCTTGCTCCCGGGTCTCTGCGTGGGGGGCTGGGTGAGGCTGTGGTTGGAAGTTCCCTGAGGTTTCTCTGCAGCGGAGAAACTAGAAGACGCCACGTGTCGGCGAAGGGGAGAGGGCGGCCGGCAGGTGCGCTCTCCTGTGGGCAGGCGGCCTGCAGTGTGAGCCTGTGTCCCGCCACGTGTGCGTCTGCACACTGCGTGCACACACGCGTCGCTCTTCGCTGGCACTGCTTGGGAACGCCGGTCTCTGTTCTAGGGGCCGCTTAAAGTGACAGTGCAGGAGCTGGACGGCTCCTTCAACCACACGCTGCAGATCGAGGAGAACAGCCTGAAGCACGATATCCCCTGCCACTCCAAGAGCAGAAGGTAGGCGCCAGCGGAGGCCCCGCCGAACCTCGCACTTTTAGGGGAGAGCGCGTTGCTTAGAGCCCTTTCTCCTCCGGTGTTACTCCGCCTTAGTGTTGTGGAATATCTTTTGTTGGCTTTCGAGTCTTGGCGATATTTTTAAGATTCATTCATTACTTTTTAGAATTTAGACTTGAGGTTCTTGTTTTTTAGAAAGGGAGCAAAAAGGAGAGAAATATGGAAGTTGCAGTCTTTAGAGCTAGGAAACATTTAAGGCAAGTACTTTCGGTGCGTGCCTAGGCTGTTTCAATTTTTTTTTTTGGTACCGGGGGTTGAACTCAGGCCCTTGCACTTGTGAGGCAGGTGGCGGCACCGCTGAGCTGAGTCCCCGGCCCTAGCCTGTTTTAATTTTTGAAGCACAATGGGAAAAGATGGTTGAAGGCAGGGAGTGCACGTGCCAGGCAAAGCCCGACAGCGCGCTCCCTCTGACCTTTCTCCCACTTGCTCGGTGTCACCCCGCCCTGCAGAATGCTTGTTTTGTTTTAGGGAATTTTGTTTTATTGTCTATAGGTGACTTGTATGGTTTTAATCCATTGGGAAGATTCCCATCTCAACCTGTAACGTATCTCCTTCGTGCTTCTTTAAAATTGAAATTGTTCCTTCAACACACAAAGACGTGAGAGTGTGGTGTGTATAAGGGGTAACACCACGTGTCAGGTGCACCTGTGCTGCAGTGTTTAATCAGGTCAGACACTCCCAGCCCCTCAAAAGTCCATCACTTCTTTGTGCTGCAAAAACATTGGGAATCCTTGTAACTTTGAAATAAGCCGCACAAAATTGTCCCGTAGTCGCTGCATAGTCAGTGGTGACCGCACCTCCGACCCTGCCTCCCGTCGGTTCCTGCTTGCTGCTCGGCGTCCCCCACTTCTCCCTGCGTTGCTCCCAGGTCTCTCGCTGTTCTGTGCTCCTGGCTCCCTGTGCCTGGCTGACTGCTTTCGTGTGCTGCAGGTGACGGGTTTTCCTTTCTTCTCCCTTCCTGGTGTCCCCCTGTTCCACACCTTCTGCATCTGTCCCTCGCGTGATGGGAACTTAGGTTGTTTCTGTGTCTGGGATCTTGTGAGCTATGCAGCCATGGACGTGGGTGGGGGCAGAAGCCTCCTCAAGTGCCCGGCCTGAGGATTGCCGGCCCCTTCAGTAGCTGTGTTTGTGGTGTTTGGAGGAGCACCTGTGCTGTAGTGATTTCCACCAGAGGTGTCTCATCAGCAAGGCTTCCCTTTCGTCCACGCCCTCGGCAGCGTTAGTTTTTCATCTTTGGGCATAGCCATTCCAGCTCATTAAAAGTTGGGCAGTGAGCCCAAGTGGACATTTCTCCTGAGACCCAGTGCGGCCAGCAGGTACCTCACGTGGTCACTCTGTGTGATGGCCAGGGAAGTGCAAACCCAGAGCATAGTGAGCTTGCAGTGTTCCTGGTGTCCTTCGGAGGCAGAGTGCCGTGGAGGAGGTGTCCAGCAGTTCACCTCTTCCTAGTTAGCGGGCTTCCCGTGACCCTCAGCTCGTCAGTTCGCATCTGACTGTACGGGGGCTGGTTCTCTCAGCACTGCAGGAGCAGGAGTCTTATTAGACAAGACAGATGAGAATGTTGGCTTTGAAAGACTCTGAATCTTCTCATAATCAGTTTTACTCTGAGAAATTTGTTTTCTTTCCTTTTCTTTTTTTTTGTGGCTCTGGGGATCAAACCCCGGGCCTCACGTGTGATAGCCCAGTGCTCCACCATGGAGCTGCGTCCCAGCCCAGCCCTAGAAATACTCTCCTTCAGAGTGAAGTCCCCGAGCCCCCCTCTCAGTCTGCTTTGGAAATTAGAAACATTTGATTGCTGCTTTTCATAACATTTCCTCAGGTTTTAATTTTCTATGATAACAGTATTTGTTTGTTTTGAGACAGAGTCTTGCTAAACTCACAGCTGGCCTCCAGCACTTGGAGATCTTCCTGCCTCAGCCTCCCAAGTACTGGAATTATAGGCGTGTAGCACCACACTCAGCTTTTTTAAGAGGTGCCAGAGATTGAAACCTGGGTCTTCTCATGGAGTTTTATCCCCAGCCCTTTTCCATTTTGAGACTGGGCTTTAGTTATCGAGGCTAGGTTTGAACTTTTGATTTTCCTGCATCATCTGGGGTCACAGGCATCTCTAGCGTTCTCTGCTATAAGGTACATAAGACTTTCCTTTGCTCTGATTTCATTTACATTTCCACGACTTTTAGTATGTTACACAGTAGTTTTTCTGATATAGAGGATCCTCAAGTTATGGCCCACCTGACATACTTGGGTTAACACAATTTTAGTTTTAATTTACAACCAAAGTGTTGAATTACAACCCAAATGCCAGCTGCTTGTGTTTCCAGATGGTCTCAGAGGCCCGGGGATTTAGCTCAGTGGTTCCGCCCCCACTACCTCGCAAGTTCAAGGTCCCAAGTTCGATCTCCAGTACCAAAAAAACCAACAAAAAACCCCAAGAAACAAAAAAACACCAAACCCAGATGGTCTCAGACACAGATTTAACCCTTAAAGAGTTCTGGCATGGCAGCGTCCTTTCCCGTGTGGGTTTAGCTGAGAGATCCCAGGCAGTGTCTCTGAGGACCCTGAGATCTGCCTGTGTGCAGCAGAGAGACTGAAGGCTGTGGAGAGGAGCCTGAGCCTGCACTGACCAATTCGAGTTACAACCACCCCTCGAGAGCGAATTGAGTTTGTAAGTCAAGGGTCCCTTGTCCATGAGTAATTCGCGTGCTAGCAGTTCTTTGTTTGCATAGCTCAAGTCTTGTGGGTATTAGTTCTCTGTAGTAATTAAGATGTTTTATTAGTTACGTGATTTCATTTAGCAGACACTGTTCCTGCAGCACTGGTCTGACTTGGGATTATATCTCTCTTCAGGCCTGCTTATTTGTTTTCATTATTAAAAAGCATTTCTTTATGATAGATGCTGTTATTCTACATAAATTGTACCTACCGGTTGTTGGGAATATATAGTAATATGTTTTGATTACCTGTTTTTGCTTTCATTCAACCGTGATCAGGAAAAACTTGTGTTCACTCCATTCCCTGTGGATTCACAGTAGATTGTGTCTAAGTCCCAGTCCATGTGCTATGAGGAGAGCTTCCAGTGTTGGGCGGAATCTGTTATTTGAACTGCTGCTCAAGCTTTTCCTTAAATACAGGAATAAGAAGAAGAAAATCCCACTGCTGAACGGGGAAGAAGCTGACATGGATCTCTCTGCGATGGAGTAAGTCGCTTTCGTGTGTCATTCTTAAAATAAGCGCCTCCAACACTTTTTGAACCAACAGACCTGCGTTAGGGACACAGCATCCGAGGGAGGGCAGCCCGTCTGGACCAGGCGCTGCGGGGACACGGCCTCGCCACTGTTTGCCCCTCTCGCTCCCTAGTGGCCTCTTGGGTGGCTCCCATGGCGATGGCTGGCTCACCCAGGGATGCACAGTGGTGCCTGAGTCCGGCCTCGCCCGCGGGCCCGGTGGTTCGGATTTCGGGTGACGCCGGCTGGTACTCCTGGTCGGCTTTGGAGCAGGGTTTGAGGGCACATGGAGGTTTCTTGTGTTTGCCGAACAGTTTAAAGACTCCTGCTCTGCGGACTGGCTGGTGGCATTTATCACACGGCCGTGCTTCCTTTTGAAATACAGTGCACGGGGCCGGGGATTTAGCTCAGTGGTTCTGGTGCCTGCGTCGCAAGTGCAAGGACCTGAGTTTGATCCCCGGTACCAAAAAAAACCCCAACAAAAAAATGCACTTTGTCCTTTGTTATTTTGCCCCTCCAGCTTGTGTCTGTGTCTTTTCTTTCTCTCATTGAGTTTATTGGTACTTTTGAAGTATACAGCACAGTTACATTTATCATTGGGATCTGTGTCTTTTTGATAAGACATCAGTTATTTTCTGATTGTATGCTGAATTATCACGGTTCCTTCCATACAGAAATGTCAAGACCAGTGTTGCTTTAGATTGTTTCAGAGCAAGTACTTTGCCTGTGTAAACATGCAGTACTGTTTGTTAAATTGAATTAATGCTACAGGTGGTATTCTTTTGATGAAAGTATTAACTGAGAATTGAGTTTTGTTTTGTGCTTTATATACACACACACACATTTTTTAAGATAGTCTTGCTCTGTAATCCAGACTGGCCTTGAACACACTGAGTAGCCCAGGCTGGCCTTGAGTTCCTGACAATCCTCCTGCATCAGCCTCCTGAGTACTGGGATTACAAGTGTGCGCCCCACACCCAGCTCACCTAGACTTGATCCTCAAGCCATGATTGTTATTTAGGAAGTATCTGAACATGATAAACTCATGACTCCTTTCAAATTATGATTTCAGAACTTGATGTTTGAGAAAAGTAATCATGAGTCTAGCATTTTAAGAAAGTAAATGAAGCAAATTAATTTAGTAAAATATTTTTTATGTTTTAGCCACATATTGATTTCCAATAAAGGATACTGTTTATCGCCAAAGTCAGTTATTAGGCTGGCGAACATTACATGAAGGGATTTCCTCCCTCTCCCTCACATCTCATCACTCCCAGTAAAGAGCGCCAGCAAGGAAGCAGGGGCGGCATTTTCTGTGAGGGCTGCTTTTGTATCTGTGAGCATCTTAGTGAGACTGACAGAGGAGGCCGACGCTCCTGGCCGTCACGAATCGATTCCCAGAGCAGTTCGGAAGCAGAGTCTGGAGGGGACTCCGGCTGGGGCCGCCCTGCTTTCCGGCCTAGAGCTGAGCCCGCCGTGTCTCCCCGCAGCGCCGACTCGCCCCTGCTGTGGATCCGCATCGACCCCGACATGGCGGTGCTGCGCAAGGTGGAGTTCGAGCAGGCCGACTTCATGTGGCAGTACCAGCTGCGCTACGAGCGCGACGTGGTGGCGCAGCAGGAGTCCATCCTGGCCCTGGAGAAGTTCCCCACGCCCGCGTCGCGCCTGGCGCTCACCGACATCCTGGAGCAGGAGCAGTGCTTCTACCGCGTGCGCATGGCCGCCTGCTTCTGCTTGGCCCAGGTGAGGGGCGGGGCTTCGTGTCTGTTCTTTTCGTGCTTTTTTTTGGTGTTTTGAGATGGGGTCTTGCTATGTAGGTCGGGCTGAAGCTCGCTGTGCTTAAAAAGCCTCTGAAACTCACTTAAAATTCACCAGTCTTAAAATTTACTTAGTTTTTCCAATGAAAGCTTTTACTAAATGTGTTTAACAGACTCGACTTAAAAGAAATTTGTCATCTCAAAAGTGACATTTGCAAAAATTTAATTTTTGTCCAAATGTGTAAAAAATCAGATTTGTAAAACCAAATAGAATTTTCATTGTTTTATTAAATTGAAATATATTTATTAATATACATATATATATATATATGTATATAAAACACCTCGTAATTCTCGTCACTGCACACACACGCTCTCATTTCATAGCATCCCCAATTTTTCCCAGCATTCCCTCAAAAGGACACATCGATCCTCTCCTCCTCTTTAGAAGGAAACTCCCTAAAAGTTACCTTTATTCACTGATCGCCAACTATATTTTTTAAAAAAGATTATATTTTCTAAGAAAGTCCCTGGTTTCAGTGATTTTTGTTTTAAACATAGTACAGGAAATCACTTCAATCTTAATCACCGTGGGGTAATTACTTCACATTGATTTGAGTTCAGGAATCAGCATTTGTGATAAGTAATTTAGAGTAATTGGTTCTGTAATTCTAATTCTAGAACAGTTATTTCATTGAGGAAACTCAGTATCTTTCCTTAGATGCAAAAAAACAAAACAAAACAAAAAAAAAACTGAAGGTGGAAACCAGAATAACACAGACAAAAATTTGGCCAGAAATGCTAGTTACCAGGTATTTACAAAGAATCTCCATAATAGGCTCATTCCTATTTCTAGCGGCAGTATCCATGTACCAGATTATAATACTTTAGGTTGGTTGGTTAGCCCAAGATCTTGCTGTGTAGCCCAAGCTGGCCTCAAACTCATGGTAATCCTCCTGTCTCAGCCTCCTGATTACAGGCAGGCAGGTAGCTGAATTCCTGTATTCAAAGATAGTAGAAGGAAAATACGATTATTTTGTAAGGGATATAATTTCATTGCTTCTTGTAAAGATTTTTGTGATTCCTGTGTGCTAAAGTCTTAGCAGAGCCGTTACCATATATATTATTTGTAAACTTCAAACATTTTTTTTTTGGTACTGGGAACCGAACTTAGGACCTTGCACCTGCCAGATAGGCACAGTGACGCTGAGCTACATCCCTGGCCCTTCATTATATGTTATTTAAGCAGTATTTTTCATATACCATAAAAATATTGATCCAAAGATCTGATTTTTTCTTCTTTATAACGTATTCTTACAGACACAAATAGTTTATTGTATTGGCTTGGTTTTCACTTAGATTGAAACAACTTATTTAAAATTAAGTGATGTTTCTGTGAATAAATTAAAAATTTTACAGTTATATCTAAATGGATAACGATTCAGAGTACTATGGCTTTGGAAACTCTTTTTTCTTAGACTATGAAAGAATGCTGTAAGGTAGACATTGTGCGAAGTAACTCTGAGCGCACCGGGAGTTGTTTTGGAGGGTGAATCTGTTTTCTCGGAGTCGGTGAGGTGGTTGTGCCATCCCCGAGTTGCGTTGCAGTGGGGCCTCAGCAAGCTGCTTTGTGTACCCTGCCCTGCTGCACTGGTGTGGGAAACCCCTCCTTCTCTTGACTTGCAGATTGCAAATTCCATGGTGAGCACGTGGACCGGACCTCCGGCCATGAAGTCCCTCTTCACCAGGATGTTCTGCTGTAAGACCTGCCCGAACATCGTGAAAACAAACAACTTTATGAGTTTTCAGAGTTACTTTCTACAGAAGGTACCAGTTTACTCTGCGAGTTGTCTTAGGTTTTTCCAATTAACTTAACATCACTCCTGCTCTCCTCTTAGGACTTTTTTGTGGCACATGTGCCCGTGTCCTTTAACTCGGAGGCTTGAAGTAGTGCGTGTGTTTGCTTTCCTGCACTGACGTCTGCCCGTTCGCCCGCCCGCTTGCTAATGTCCGTGTGTCCCCGTGTGCCCCCTCTTACTGCCGTCCCACATTGGCAGTTACGGAGAGGCCATAAAACTCACTGAAGATTGTTTGCGGAGTTTTAATTTTTAAGGAAGACAGAATGGGCTGCGGCAGAAACCCGGGAAGTCGCTTCCCCGCCCACACTCCTGCATGTAGTGGTAGGAGGAGATCGGAGCCTAATGAGCCGGGTTGGGAGGAAGGCGCGGTGCAGGCGGGCAGTCCCGAGGACGCAGGGACGCAGCCGGCTGCTCTGTGCCTCTGCCCAGCATCCATTCAGCCCCACTTCCCTGGTAGGGTTTACTGCCGCAAGTCTGGGAAGTTTGGAAGGGCGAAGGTGGGTCGGAGCTGGGATCGCTTGCCTGTCGCTCTTAGTCCGTGCCGGGTGCTACTGCAGAATCAGTGTGGCCGAGGCTGGTGCCCCAGTCCGCAGCTGTGAGGAAGCACAGCCCTGCCCAGGCGGCCGCTGACCAGAGACGTGGGTTCGAGACTGGAGTTAGAAGTGGTGTAATCTCCCTGTGCTAACCCCGCACCTGTCCTGTTGTGTCCCCGAGAAGGGAGTGAGGTGGCTTATGTGGCATCTACTTCCCTTCAGCAAATGCGGTCCAAGGTGCATGGCTCTGGAGCACCCGGTTGTCTAGCTCTTCCCAGGCTACCCACCCAGGCTCTGCTCAGAGGCTTTGGATGGAGCCTGGGTAGAGACGGGGACCCTCCCGCAGACACCTGCGCCCGCCCGGTCATGCGCTTCCCTGTCTGTGGCTCAAGAATTGCAGTGGAACAGTTGAGTTATGTGTTTTACAAATCTTAGTCTTTTTTCTTTGTAGACTATGCCCGTTGCAATGGCTTTACTAAGAGACGTTCATAACCTTTGTCCCAAAGAAGTCCTAACATTTATTTTAGACTTGATCAAGTACAATGACAACAGGAAAAACAAGGTAAAGTACGCTTTTAATGAATACATAAAACTACCTAGTAGTGCTTTGTTTTTAAAGACATGTTCTGAGGGCCGGGGATTTAGCTCAGCGGTTTGGTGGCCTGCCTTGCAAGTGCAAGGACCCGAGTTCAATCCCCGGTACAAAAAAAAAACAAGACATGTTCTGTGAGTTGGGTGTGTATCTGGCATGTGCAAAGCCTGATTTAATTCCCAGCACCTTCCCTGCCGCTGCTAAAAAAAAGAGGAAGAGAGAAGGGAAGAATGACTTAGGCTGTGTATCGTTATTGAGCCTTTGGTCCTAGGAACTTCCAGAGTTAGAGGCGGACAGGTACGATTTACTAGAACGGCCGGTCGGTGAAGCGAAGATGAACTGTTTGAACTGTGCTTCTGACCTCTCAAAGTACAGGGCTGGCAGGTGTCAGGAGGAGGAGCCGCTGGAACCGCTTTGGGGAAGTCTACAGCATGGTTTTTTATGTGTTCTCTTTTGTGGAGGGATACAAAAGCATTTCCTGTTGAGGGTTAGCATGTTCATTGGTAGATTTGTCTTTTTTTTTTTTTTTAAAAGCCATTGTACTTTTATTCATTTAATTAGCAAATATGTATTTCATTCTCCTTGTCATCAGTCTAACAGCAGATGATTTTGAGAATTTGTGCTGCATCGGGCAGTATGATGTTAAGTAGAAGGAAGAGATAGCTGATGCCTCCAGGAACTTCATTTATTAATTAAACACTGAACAGCCGCTCTCAGCCTGATTGGGGTCCTTGGGGGCTGTGTGATAGAGGCGTGGGAGTAACTGCTGCATGCAGGGTTGTGGCCTCCTGTGGGGCAGGTACCTCAGGAGCTTTCCGTGGAGAAGCAGGGAGCCGAAGCTGAGTCGGACATTTGCCTCTTCCCTGGAGACAGTAACGAAATGGCCCGGGCCTAGCCGTCCCTGCAGGCAGCCTGTTGCCCTCCTCCCGTGTGTTCCTGCACGGTGGCTCGGCTCTGAGTGCTGCCCTGGCTCTGGGCTCTCAGCACTGGGTGGGTTAGGGCACGGGGTCCCAGGCTGACTTCTGGTTCCCTCTTCGCGGCCAGCCTTTCTCAGTGAGCAGCTGGCACGTTCAGGCAGACACAATTCAGGAAGCCTGTGCTTATTTTCCTTTCATTATTGTTTTGCTTAAGTGACTCATATTTTCATAAATTAAAACTAGACTGGAAAAAAGCACAAGATGAAATTTATAATTTCACCTAATATTTTATTTCAGTCCATACTTAGCTGGCTAGCTCTGCTGTTCCCTGGAATTTTTACTGACTATGTTTCTTATTTTCCTTCAGGTTTTTTTTTTGGGGGGTACATTACTGGGGTTCAAATTGAGGGCCTTTGCATCCCTAGCCCTTTATATATTCTATTCTTTTATTTTGAGACAAGGTCTCACTAAGTTGTCCAGACTGTGGTCGAACTTGTGGCCCTCCTGCCTCAGCCTCCCACAGTGCTGGGATTACAGGCGTGTGCCACTACAATGGGCTTCTTTCAAAGTTCTTAGTTTTAGAGCTGCATTAATGTTTATCCACCTTGTAGCCTACTCCAAGATGTCCTCAGTTACAGCCATAAAAGAGAATTACTGCCATTTAAAAGATTACTGTCTGGTGCTTTGGAGATTTGACTTCCATATTATTTATTTAGTGAAGTACTTTCCCTTGTTAGGCCTTGGTCCACGTTTGTGTATGCATATGTGCACGTGTGTATGTGTCTTACATTAAAATAGCTGTGAGAATCTCCCTAAAATTGAGATGCTTTATGAGCTTTTTATTCATGTTATACTGGAGTCTCTTTCTAATACTGTCCTGGTCAGAAATTTCCATGGAACGTGATGACTGGGCCGGGCATGGTTGTGCACGCCTGTAATCCCAGCACTCGGGAGGCTGAGGCAGGAGGATCGCTGTGAGTTAGAGACCAGCCTGGGCTACACAGTGAGTTCCAGAGCAGTCTGAACTACATAGTGAGAGAGACCCTGTCTTAAAAACCAAAAAAAAAAAGAACATGGTGACTGGAAGAGCCAGGTGAGCCATGCTGTGCAGTCATCTGCTTGTGACAGGACTGCGTGTGAGACTTTGTTGAGATGCGTCCTGTCCTTCTAAAGATACGTGAGAGCGGGCGCTTAGGACGGTCTCCCTAGCTGGGTCGGCACACTGCTTTGTTTGTCAAGAACTGTTTTTCTTGTATATGTTCCGTGTGTCCTGATGAATACAAGCCTGGAAAATAGCACACACCTTTTACCTTTCTTTCTTTATACCAAACCCCTAAAGTTAATTTATTAGATGGAAATTAACACAAGGCTTTTTTAGTAAAACATTTATTGATAGATTTTAGATGTACATAATGATAACGTTCATCATAGGAAATTTGCACCAGTACGTGATACGTTGCGCTGCTTCCTTTTTCCTACCCTCTCATGTGCAAAAGCTTTTGTTTCCAGGTTTTTCCTTCCTTTTTTCTTGTCTCTTCTTTTCTCCCCCCTCCCATTTCTCAATATCTATTGTACATTTTAGTCCTTATTTCCACTTTTGTTTTCTTACACCAGAGAAACAATACGGAATTTAAGCCTGTGTGTTCAATTGATTTCACACAGGAGTATAGTGTCAAGGTGCATCCATTTAGCTATAGATGTCTCCAGCTCATCCTTCTTTATGGCAGAGTAATACTTCATTATATAAAAACCCTACATCATCTTTGTCCATTTGTTGGATGATGGGTATTTGGGCTGTTTCCAAGATTTATCTGTTACAAACTGTGCTGCTATAAACATTGGTGTGCATATATTGCTGTGGTGTGGTGCTTTTAATTCATTCGGGAGGATACTAAGAAGGGAAACAGTTGCATCAAATGGAACCTCTAGTTTTAGGGTTTTTTATCTTCATTAAATTTATTGGAACATGTTAGGTATACAGCACAGTTACACCCATCACTGGGATCTTGTACCTTTACATGACTTGTCTGGGTTCTTATTTTCCCCATTCCCCAGCCCTCCCTTCACCCCCTCCACCCTTCCCTGTTTACAGAGACATTATTTCCATGGTTTTCCTTTTTTCCCTTCTTTCCTTTCCCCTTCCTCTCATTGTTCTACTCCTTTAGACCTTTTCTTCCTATTACACAATATAAATTGTACATTTTGATCCTTATTTACACTTTTAACTTTTCACACCAGAGAAACTATTTGGTATTTACACATGTGTGACGTATTAATTTCACTTAAGAGTATGGCCTCGATGTGCACCCACTTAGCTCTGAATATCTAGTTTCTTGTTATTTATGGCTGAGTAGTACTCATTTTTTTAAAAAAACCGTATCTTTATCCAGTCTCCAGTTGTTGGGCACTTGGGCTGTTTCCAAGTCTTAGCTATTACAAACTGTGCCGCTATAAACATAGGTGTGCATATATCACTGTGGTATGATTCTTTTAATTCTTTTGGAAAGATACCCAGCAGAGCTATGGCTGGGTCAAATGGAACCTCTAGTCCCAGCTCTTTGAGGTGTCTCCATATTGATTTCCATAGTGGTTGCTCCAGTCTGCAGTCCCACCAACAATGGAGAAGGGTTCCTTTCTCCCCACAACCCCGCCAACATTTGTTATTGTTTGATTTCTTGATAGCAGCCATTCTTTTTGGGGTGAGGTGGAATCTCAGTGTTGTTTTCATGTGCATCTCTCGAATGACCAGTGATGTGCAACATTTTTTCATATATTTACTTGCTTCTTTTACTTCTTTGAGAAATGTCTGTTCATTTCAGATTGCCCCCCCACCCCCTTTTGGTACCGGGGATTGAACTCGCAACCTTGCACTTGCAGGGCAGGTGGTGGAACCATTGAGCTAAATTCCCGGCCCCAGATGCCCATGTTTGAATTGGGTCTTTATATTTGGGGGTCTGATTTTTTAAAGTTCTTTATATAGTCTAGATAGTAGACCTTTGTCTGAGGAACAGCTGGTAAAAATTTTCCCCCACATTGTGGGTTGTCTCTTTGCTCTGCTTGTGATGTTTTTGGCAGTGCAGAAACTTTTTAAAAAGGTGAGATCCCAGTTGTTGATTCATTGTGCTAGTACCCGTGCTACTGAGGATGTGTTCGTGAAGTCTTTTACTATGCCAATATCTTCAAGAGTTCTATCTAACTTATCTTTTGGCAAATTTAGTGTTTCTGTTTTAATATTTATATCTTTAAGCCTCGTGGATTTTAGTTTATTGCATGGTGAAAGATAGGTGTCTAGTTTTAATCTTTGACAAATTGAAATCCAGTTTTTCCAACACCATTTATGAAAGAGGCTATCTTTCCTCCAGTGAGGATGGTTGGCTCCTTTGTCAAAGATGAAGTAGTGGAGGATATCTGGAGTTGTTTCTGCATCTTCTAATCTATTCCATTGATCCTCAGGTCTGTTTCTTTGCCAGTACCATGCTGTTTTTATCACAGTGGCTTTAGTATAGTTTCAAGGTGGGGATTGTGATACCCCCTGCCATGTCTCTGTTGCCTAGAATTGCTTTTGCTTCTACATCTCTTCTGGTTCCAGGTGAATTTTTGGATTGTTTTCTCTAGTTCTGTGAAATACACTGTTGGGATTTCAATAAGGATTGCAATGAATCTGTATTGCAATTTTGGTAGTATGGCCATTTTCACTATGTTGATTCTTCCTGCCCAGGAATAAGGGATATCTTTCCATTTTTTTTTTATATCCTCTTCAATCTCTTTTTTTCAGTGTTGTAGTACTCAATGTAGAGGTCTTTTGTTTCCTTTGTTAGATTGATTCCTAGATATTTCATTTTTTTTGGATACCATTGTGAAAGGTATTGTTTCCTGAATTTTACTCTCTGTTATTTGTACACAAGAAGGCTATAGATTTTTGAGTGTTTACTTTGTACCCAGCTACTTTACTGAATCTGTCAGTTAAGTGTAGAAGTCTTTTGGCAGAGTTTTTGGGTCTTCTATATAGAATATCGTATCATCCACAAATAATGATGATGTAACTTCGTCCTTTTCTATCCTTATTCTTTTTGTTTCTTTGTCTTGTCTAATTACTCTGGCTAATGTTTCCAGAATTATATTGAATAAGAGTGATAATGGTGGGCATCCTTGTCTTGTTCCTGATTTCTTTTCGGTTTTTGTCCATTTGGTATAATATTGGCTGTTGGTTTGTCATAGATGGCTTTGTTGTAAATTGCACAGTGCCAGTGAAACCAGAGTCAGGCTGAGGCAGGAGGGTACAGTCTAAGGAATCTCAGGGGAAATAGGAAGGACTTAAAATGGAGGGAAAGGGCTGGGAAAATACTAGCTTTCAAAGAGTAAGGACCTGATTCAGAATTTAAGAAGTTGTGGGAAGTATGTCAACTTTCACCTTGAATTTGTCTGGTCCACACCCCAGCTCAATGGATGTGTTAGGAGAACAGCGCTATTTTAGTAAATAGTATGATCCACTTGCTGTGTAATTGTGCTGCTTAATTTTCCAGCGGAGTTGTGCTGTTTTTCTTCCTGCTCTTGATGGACTTGTTTTCCAGTGCTGGGATCCCGGCCAGGGCCTCATGCTGGCTGGCAACCCCCTAGCCCTGAACCACACCCCAGCCTTCCTCCCTTTTATCTCAGTGAACTGACAGTGAGTTGATTTTGTAATTCTGGGGTTGGACCTGGGGCCTCTTGCATGCTAGGCAAGTGCTGTGCTACTGAGCTATATATCCCCAACCCTTCATTTCTTATTTTGAGGCAGGGTCTCGTCAGCTTGTCCAGGGCATTGCTGAGGCATGAGCCTCAGCATCATAAGCAGCAGGGTACAAGAGTGCACCACTGTGACTGCCTTAGTTTTTTCTTCTCAAAAGTAATATTATGCTATTGGAAGAAATATCACTGGTTCTTTCTCAGATAATACAATAATTTTCAGAATATTTTTGTCCATTACTGGGGTTGTCTGTTCCCTGCATTCTTTATTTCCAAGTTGCTTTTTTCTTTTTGAGTTCTTTTCTTTCTTTCCTTTTATGTCGATGCTTTCTTCAAATACCTGGTGACCCTTGGTTGTATGTTTATGATTAAAGTAGAGCGATACTAGCTGGCTGGGAGATTTGTAGCAACCCTGTGAACTCTGATCTCTTCGTAGAATATCTAGCTGGGTTCCTGCATGCACTGAACAGTTACTGAGACTCTCGTGTCCCTGCTCCCTCTGTCCCTTCCATTCTGTTCTGTGTCCATTCTGTGACTGCAAAGGACAGAGTTGAATATTTACTAGAGAACTTGACGTTTTAGATCAGTTTGTTGTTATTACATGTACAGTAGTAACTTTTCATCAGAAGACTTCACTTTATCTTCTTTTAATTATTCTCTGCTTTAGTTTTCAGATAACTATTACCGGGCAGAAATGATTGATGCCCTGGCCAACTCCGTCACCCCGGCCGTCAGTGTAAATAATGAAGTCCGGACTCTGGATAACTTAAATCCTGATGTGCGACTCATTCTGGAAGAAATTACAAGGTTTTTGAACATGGAAAAACTTCTTCCAAGCTACAGACATACCATCACCGTCAGGTATCCATAAATTCTTTGCTTTTTCTTCAAGTGTGTATATTTTTATAACTCTGAAACATACTTATTCTCATTAGATTAAATGGAAACAGTAAACTAAAAGGGGAAAATTAAAATTCTGATTCTGTCATCCAAAGATAAATTATTCCTGTTTATGGAATATCCTTCTAAATTTTGTACCTTTGTTGGTATAGAATTTTTTAATTACTTGAATTTATTTTACATAGTTTCACTTTTTTTTTTTTTGGTACTGGGGATTGAACTTGGGTCCTTGCGCTTACAAGGCAGGCGGTGGAACCACTGAGCTAAATCCCCGGCCCTCATATGACATAGTTTTAAATTCAGTTTATATCATAAGTGCTTTCTCATGTCATCAGAAATTCTTGATAAGTGCTATTTTTGGTGTCTGCGTCATTTTTATTTCAGTCAGTGTGAGATAAAATCACTATCCTCAGCCTGCTTGTCAGACTTGCTTCTTTATATATGGCTATTAAAAAATTCGGTTTACTTTAAGCTTGCTAAAAGTTGCTTCCCATTTGAAACATTATGAACAAATTTAACCTTCCGTTTATATGCTGAATAAACTGTATTAAAACTTTTGCTAACTTACCGTGTATTTGTGTGCATCTGTGATAGTATAGGGAGCTCAGAGCTCAGGTCGCTCAAGGGGTTCCAGTCAGGTTTTGAAATTTGTGTCTTTTAACATATTTTAGCTATCGATTATAAATGTTACCATCATTGTAGGATTGAATATTACAGAATTGAATATGGATTCATTTTTAAATTTTCTGTGACAAATGAATCTCTGTCACCTGGAACCAAGTTTGACTCATAGAACCTCAGTGAGACAGCTAACTTAAATTTCTTCTGAGCTAGCTGCTTGAGAGCCATCCGGGTCCTGCAGAAGAACGGGCACGTGCCAAGTGACCCTACCCTTTTTAAGTCGTACGCAGAATATGGCCACTTCGTGGACATCAGGATCGCAGCTTTGGAAGCAGTGGTTGATTACACCAAAGGTAACACTTTCGAGGGAGACGCTCATGTCTTATAGAAAGTAATTCTTTTTAAAGCCAGCCTTAGTTTTGGGGTTTCGTAAGATTTGTGGTAAATGTTGAATTAATGTATGTAAGAATTGATAAATGAGAGAAAAGAATGAGATCACACATTTTGTGGCCTTTTTGAGATCATCAGGGGCTGATTAGAAAATACCGTGTGTGTGTGATGGCTGTGTCTGCCTTTCCTCAAAGCCTCATGGGTCAGAGGTGGCTGGATCTAGACTGATGCTGGGATTGAGGGTGTGTGGTTACTACATCAGTCTGCTGACTGGCTTGGCCCCACCCTAATCCTGGTGGTCTGGATAGAAGGGGCAGGAAGCCGCTGTTAAGGTTTCTTGTTGCTCTTGCTGTCTTCTGCTGCCATGACCTGTTGCCCCCCTGCCATGCCACCCTGCCTTGGAGCCAGTTGATTATGAACTGAAACCTCTACAAACTGAGCAAATAAACCTTTCCCCTTTAACTTTGGGTGTTGGGTATTTTATCTCAGCAGCGACAGAAAAATAATAACGTTGTTTAAATAAAAATTCCTTACAATCAGTGACAACATTGCCGTTAGTTCTCTTGGCAATACCCGCCCTCGTTTTGAACACTCCTATCCCATCGTTGTGTCATTTGCGGATATGGTTCTGGAGTCCGCTTTCATGGGTGTCTTATAAGATGTGATAAACGCGTGTTGCTGCCAGGTGCCATCCAGTGGAAAGATAGCTCGTTAAAACATGACGGTTGGTCCTCATCTGCCTTGGTCTCCAGATCTGGCACCTGCTACTTCTGGTTCTTCCCCAGTCAGTGTGACCATTGTCTCCATCATTTTCTTGTTGCTGGATCAAAATACCCGACACCTACAACTTGGAGGAGAGGTTTGTTCATTGGGTTCCCTGTTTCAGTCATGCTTGCCTGGTTCCAGCCCAGAAACAGGACGGCAGAGTGGCAGGCAGGGGAAAGGAGCTCCATCCCATGCAGACAGGAAGCAGAGGGCAGGCCTCACCCTCCAGCTGGCTCCTCCTCCTAACAGGAAGTCAGCTGTAGCGCCCCTGCTGTCGGTCACCTTCCACATCTGAGAATCTGGGGGGCAATTAAGATGTAAACCCTAACAGCCACGAAAGGTAAGCAGTTTGAATCAGTTGGATGAAGTGAGGTGATCACAATAGCACAAAGAAAGACCCTCAGGAGAGAGGACGCCAGAGCTGCTTCAGAAAGTGGCAGTGGTGGGATGAGTGTTTGAAAAGTGAGGAGTATTTTGAGGGGATTCATAGCAATGTGTCTTTTACTATAATAAAAAATTAAAAAAAAAACATTCACTGTATTTTTTTGATCACAGTCTGTTGCTCTGTAGGTTTAATTTCATGCTCTTTTTTAAAGTGGCAGATTTTTTTTTTTTAACCAGGTGTTGGTGGTGCATAGCTGTCTTCCCAGCACTCAGGAGGCTGAGGCAGAAGGATGGCCAGAGGTTTGAGGCCAGCCTGGGCTACCTAGGGAGTTCAAGGCCTGGCTGAACTATATATACTATATCTCAAAAAACGAAAAAGGAAAAGAAAGAAAGAAAAGGAGATTTTTGGAAAATTTCTAAGATGGATTCAATGAAACATCTTATACCTCTGTAAAATTTTTTATGTATACAAATAGAGCAAGAGACATAGACCAGAAAGAACTTCAGTTAGGAAAGTTATGTGAGGCTTTATGAAGTTGGTGAAAAACCTAACGCAGGCCAAAAAACGAGTAAAACAACAATACATATTAAAAACCCTTTCAGACTCAGGTGCCAAAGATAAAGCGGTCAGGGAAGGAGGGTGAGGAGTAAAGCATGCGGGGAGGAGAGCAGCAGTCGGTGAAATGTGGAGCCCCTGAAAGGGACTGAAGGAAGCGGACGCACGCTAGCTTCTGCAGAACTGCACTTGCTCAGGACAAGAGGGAGTGTGTGCGCTTGTCGGTGTCCACGCCGGGCCAGGGTCCGAGAAGAAGGCGCTGCGCGTGGCCTCAGTGCTCATGCAGTCGCAGGGCCGTGAGCTCAGCGGCTCGGAATTTGGGGAAGCCCTCGCCTGAGGTTCTTGCCGCGGTGGAGAACTGGAAATGAGGCCTGTGCAGCGCCCTTACAATCGACTCCCCGAGCTTGCATCCCCGGCTTGGGTACGAACCCGGTAATGGCTCCAGACAGAGAACGTCTGAAAGGAGAGAGCTGCCGGCGATGAGCTGTGCCTGTAAAGGGAAAGCAGTGCTTAAGGATTTAAGCTACTTGTAAAGCTCAATCCATATTTCAAAAATATTTTTAAAAATAAGGTTCAAGTAAAAGAAGATACACTCCTAAGTGAAATAAATAAGTCACACATGTGTAAATACCAAATAGTTTCTGGTGTGAATAATCTGCAATAATACATAAGATCCTAATAAGATTACTGACATTTAGAAATGGGAAGAAAGGAGCTAAAGGTTTAGGGAAGGTGGGATGGGTAGGGGAGGGTAATAAGGGAAAAGAAAAAAATGTGAGATAATGAAAAGATGAAAATAAAGTGTTTGTAGATGGGGAGGGGAGGAGCGGGTGAAGGGAGGGCAGGGAGAAGGGGAAAAAATGAGAATCAAGACTTGCCATGTAGAGGTGCAAGATCCCAACAATGAATGTAACTGTACTGTATCCCTAAAATGTACCAATAAACTCAATTAAAGCTGAAAAAAAAAAAAAAAGAAGTACATAAGTGTAGTCTGCATCTGAAGTTCCAGATTCTAGCCCTAAAACAACAGAAGGGTCCTGCAGTGGGAGCGTGCGAAACTTCTCTGACTGCAGAGACAGGAAGGGAGGAGGGCTCTACCGAACACACCGGCTCATTGGGAGCGGTTAGAGGAGTGAGGGTTAGCTTAAATATTTGTAACTTCGGTAAATCTCAACAGAAATACTTATAGTCTGCTAGTAAAGAAGGGATAACAGTTACTGTGTAATACTACATTGGGCTTGGTTCAGGAAGAGCTGTCACTTGTTTTTTCCTTGGTTAAAATACAGTTTCATTTTTTAAAAAATACGGTTTCATTTGAGAGATTATGGTAGAAATAGTGACCTATTGAATAATGAATTCTTTGGCCAGAAAAAATCTTATAATCCTGTAGCAGTCTACCTTTCTACTTTACCAGTTAACTAGTTTGAAATCTACAGGGTCTTGTTATGTACCCTAGGCTGGCCTGGAGCTCACAGTGATCCTCCTGCCTCAGCCTCCTGGGTGCTGGGATTACAGGTGCGCTACATGTCTTGAGGTCCCCTACATTTGCTAGCATTCCCAACCCACTTTCTCAAGATTCTTGGATGAATGATAATCAGTGTCTCATAAATATGCAGATTTTGTGAATTAGTACTGCTAGTGGGAAATAAAGTACTAATATTATGACTTTCAAAAGAATGCTAATTAAGAAGTATAATTTAATCAGATGGTGTCTAAATGTGAACCCTAAGTCAAGGCCTCATTATTTATTAAATTTAGTTTAAATATTTGTGCTCAATTAGAAATTTGAAGAAATAGAAAATATTGATAATAAAATTTTGTCAATAAGGCCTTTCAAATTATAAAAGCAAAATCATTGAAAAGTCAAATGGAAATAGCTAGTGAGTCGTTTTATGTTGGTCATATTCATAGCACTCTTTAATTGCCCTTTATGTTACTGGAAAATTAAGACTGCTGTTTGGTTTAAAAGGAAGAAATTACATAGGCAGAAACAGTTGATACACTGTTGAAATGTAATTATTTGGGTATCAAACCTCTACAGTTGAAACATCTCAATGGCTTTATTTAAAGGTCTTGGTCCCCATGGCCTGCTACTCACTTACGAAAGTTGAAATGATCCATTGCATAAAAAGCATGAAGATGTAGGAGCTTCCCCGCAGCCTCACTGCTGGTTGGATGCAGCTCAGACCCAGCCGGGCATAAGAAATGTAGCTTCGTGCTTATAACTTGGTACTTGGCACGTGATTCTTTTTTTTTTTGGTACCAGGGATTGAACTCAGGACCTTGTGCTTGCAGAGCAGGTGGCAGCACCACTGAGCTAAACCTCTGTGATTCTTTAAAGCTGACCTCACCTACATTTTCTCGTTTGTGTCTGCAGTGGACAGAAGCTGTGAAGAACTGCAGTGGCTGCTTCACATGATTCAGAATGACCCCGTCCCCTATGTGAGGTTAGTTTATGCACTGTCACATTTTGCTTTCTCTGAAATCCTGACATGAACTGAATAATCTCAGAAGCTTATATGTAGAACAGTTGATGAGTTTTGAAAACACAAGATCTGTTCCACATTTTTTCGTGCCCCCTGTAGAGTTCTACTGAGAGGAAGTCTTGGTGGATTCCCTAGGCTGGCCTCTGACTGGCCAGTCCCCACTCAGCCTCTTGCCCAGTGAGGGTGACAGGCATGCACCACTGTACTTATTCATGTCCTCTTTTCTGTGATTTAAAAAATTTAATTTGCCTTTGCAAAAACATTTTCAAAATATGTTGTTAATAAAGTTTATTTTCTGTAATTTTAAGTATGGTTCCTTTTGTAACTTAAAGGAAACTCATATAACAGTTGGTGAATATAGAAATACAGACGAAGCCAGGCATGGTGGTGCACGCCTGTAATCCCAGCTCTCAGAGGCTGAGGCAGGAGGATCGCTGTGAGTTCGAGACCAGTTTGGGCAACATAGTGAGTTCCAGGTCAGTCTCAACTATATAGTGAGACCTTGTCTCAAAAAACCAAAACCCAAACAAAACAAAACAAAAAAACCCAGGAATACAGATGGTCCTTTGTTTAGCCCAAATTATAAAACTTTTGTAGTAGTTGATTTCACTTTTTTTTCTCTTTGGAGACAGGATGTCACTGTGTAGTTCAGGCTGGCCTTTAACTCACTATGTAGCCTAGGCTGGCCTCGAACTCAGGGCAGTCCTTCTGCCTCAGCCTCCCGAGTACTGGAATTACAAATGTGTGCCACCATGCCTGGCTTTCACTGCTTTGAAAGTAATCATAAGCAATATTTTGTGGATCCCATTTATTTTTATTTTCCTGTCTCATATAAAGTTTCAATTTTTATTAGACCAGATTATTGTTATTATTATTGTTATTATTTTTTGGTATTGGGGATTGAATTTGGGACTTTGTACTTGCGAGACAGGCGTGGTGCCACTGAGCTAAATCCCTGGGCCCAGATTATTTTAAAAGATAATATTACATTACCAAACTTGAGGAAAATTAAAAAAAATCCCAATCTATTGTTTTTTGAGACAAGATCTTTATATGTAGTTCAGGCTGGCCTTGCACTGACTTTTGAGCTCACAGCGATCCTCTTGCCTTCGCTTCCCAAGGGCTGGGATTACGTGTGCCCCCTGCACCTGGAAAAATCCCAGTCTTGTTGTGTTCTCTTTTGTTCCCCTTCTAAACATTTCTTCTATTTCTGCTGCTTTCTTATACTGTGGGATATTCAGGTAGAATTAAGTTTGTCATTTCTATGTCTTCCTTTCTTTGTTCATAATGGACAAATTTTTATTTGGTTTAATGTTATGCCTTCACAGAAGAGATTTCTTTTCTAAGACAGGGTCTCCCTATGTTACCCAGGCTGGCCTTGAGCCCACACTACCTGCTTCAGCCTCCGGAGTTGCTTAGGAAAGATATTTAAAGGTGAAAAGCGATTTATAGCCATTTTAATTAGAAATGGGGACACAGACCCAGAGGCCTCAGCTGCCTTGCTCAGCTGTGTGCGTCAGCTGGCCGAGGACGTGCGCTGAACTGTGCATTCTTTCCACGCTGAGATGCAGGGGCGTGGAAACCTACAGGAGAGCTTGCTCTTTGGGCAACAGATTTTCAGGCTGATTCTAACTGAGTTCTCAGTGAAGTGACCTTGCATTTCTGAGTGTTAAGACGTGTTTGTTATAAAATATTCTTTGTACGAGACTGTGTTGTTAAGATTTCTTAATTCTCGAATTGGGGTCTAGAGAGTATTTGAACAGCTTGTTCTCTAAGAGGAGGTGGATGCAGAGGAGAACACCTCCTGCGTGCCCGTGGTCAAGCGGACGGACGTTCAGGAACTGAGCACACATCCGGAAGATCCGTGGTAGCTAGGAGGGACAGAAAGTGTGAAACAGTACAAGGAAGGGTGATTGTGTACTCCTCAGTCTTCGTTTACGTTACCAGCGCCGGTACTAACGCATATTTCAGAGGTCTTGTTTTGAAGACCGCTTTCGCAGATTGTCAGTCCTGTAGTACTGAGTGGCTGCTGTGTCTGTAAGTGGGGCACTGTACAGCCTAAATAATTGCTTTGCAAATGCTGCTGTGCAGTTACCACACTGCATTCACATTTCAAGAGCCCACTTTATTTAAAGTCTATGAAAAGGTATATTTTATGATTAAGTTTTGAATTTTTGCCTGATGTAGTTCATTTTTATCACCATTAAGGGAACTTGTGGCTTAAGTATCATTTAGCATGTACTTCACACACAGTTACAAAAATTCTACATTTATTGCCAAAATTTTTTTATTGGTAGAGGGGGTGGCGGGAAGATAGTGCTAACACACAGTGGTTCTATCTAGTGTCTTGGGACTGTTTTGTTTATTTTTGTATTTTGAATAGGATCTCTCTTGTTTTTGTTCACATTGTCATTTTTCTTTTAAAAGTTCAGGAAATAGCCACCTGATAGGCCATATTTGGTTGTATGCATTGCATAGATTCCTTTATCTTTAAGACGTAATGAAAAGCTTCTGTCTTAAAATCAGAACCATTTTCCTTCCCTGCCCCAAATACAGGCACTTATTTTTGCTTTGTTTTGTTTTGTTTTGGTGTTTTGAGACCAGCTATGTAGTTATAGTTCAGGCTGGCCTCAAACTCGTGATGATCCTCCTGCCTCAGCCTCCGAAGTGCTGGGATCACAGTCATGCGCCATCACACCCGGCTCATCTTTCGTTTTGTACCTTAAATCATTTCTGTTTTGAGTTGCTTATATGGGAGGAACAATGTGATGGTTACCCTCCGTGCCTGACTACTTTCACTCGGTGCGTGGTCTCGTGGTGTGTCAGTTTCCTCCAGGTGACTTGGGTCGCCCCGAGTGGCAGTGTGTGCGGCTCTGTAAATACTGCAGTCTCTTCGCCCATGCGTCTGCTGATGGACACAGGGCTACATGTGGTATTTTTGCCCTCAGTTTTAAAGGTTTTTTTGTGGGGTTGGATTCCATGTTTCTAAGGAGAGTAGTGTTTATTTTATAGAAAGTGGGATGGTAAAGATTGGCTGAGATTATGTAGTTAGCTTTAGAAGACCTTATTGTATAGTAGTGACTTTGTATGTAATATATATTGTATTATTGCATAGCACTTTTACAGAATACTGGGTTTCAGTGTATTTTCATACACGAAGATGACGTGTTTTGGTGATATTTGCCCCTTGTATTACGTTTCCTTACACCTGACCCACCCTCCCCCTTATTCCCTCCCTCTTGCCTGGTATTAGTCCATTCTGTGTTCACATTATCTTTTTTTTTTGGTATTAGGGATCGAAATTGGGACCTTGTGCTTGCGAGGCAGGCAGCAGCAACACTGAGCTAAATCCCTGGCCCTCATCATCTTTTTAATAGTCCTCATAAAGGGGAAACATGGGATTTTCTGAGTCTGATTTATTTCACTAAATGTGATCTCTTATTCCATCCACTTTCCTCAAATGATGTAACTATTCTTCTTTATTGAAGTATTATATAGTACTCCATGGTGTGTGTGTGTGTGTGTGTGAATTTTCTTTATCTGTTTCTTTGTTGTTGGTACCCAGGCTGGTTGTGTGTCTTGGCTGTTTTGAATTGTGCCACAATAAAAGGTGCCACATGTGCCACTGTGATACTGATTTTAATTCAATAAGGTGATTTTAGAGCAAATCTATTGTTAGTGGAAAAACAAGTGGTAAATATTTAGATATAGCATAACGTCTTTTGAGATGAATCTAGAAATAATGGAAAGTAGAACAGGAAGGAGCAAGTATTGCAAGTTGCCACGTGTCTCCTAGTGTCTCCACTCCTAGCATTCGTCAGCAGGTAGTGAAACTCATTTATATTTTACTCTTTCAGGCATAAGATTCTAAACATGTTGACCAAGAACCCACCTTTTACAAAGAACACAGAGTCTCCCTTATGCAATGAAGCCCTCGTAGATCAACTTTGGAAACTCATGAATTCTGGTGAGAATCAATGAAGTTTTAATAAATTACCTGTGGTAACAGATTTTGTATTCAGTAGCACTTACAAACCTGAGTTAACTTTTGTCGTGTTGGAGGAGCCACTGCAGCTTCTCGGTGGTGGGCGGGAGAACAGTTGTCACGCAGACGCTCACTCTGCCCCGCAGGGTGATTGCAGAAGTGAAAATTTATGTGAAAGTGTTCCAGGTGGTTAAAGAGCCATAAATAGGGGTCTACAAAGTCTTCCTAGTTCCTTAATCGGGGAAGTTACAGTGCAGTGGAACGTGAGTGTTTTCACTCCTTGCCAGAGCCCCCTGGTGGCCTTCGTGGCGGGACCATGTCGCAGTCTCCTGCTGGAAAGGGTCGAAGAGCTGCTGAGCGTGCTGCGTCCTGTAGCACCCTGCAGACCATGCTCCCCGGCCGAGCTTGGGTTCCCACCGCATCCACCATGGCAGGAGGCCACAGTCAGGGGGCTCCGAGCTGTGTGCCGGGAGCTGGGGTCCTGGCTCAGCCCAGATTCGCTGCTCGACTTCCCTAAGCTCTTCTCATCTTGAGACCGTGAGCAGCTGGGATTTCACTGTACCTTTTTACTTACTCTCAGTCCACAGTGAGTTTGATGTTCACTCTGCATAGTTCAAAATGGCTTGATTCCTTTTGATAATGTGGATGAGAGAGAGTAGAATGACGTGGCCAGAAGGGAAAGGTCATCGTGTGGGACACTCACGAGTTGCTGTCGAGGAGTCAGACACAGGGACGTGTGCTTGTCTTGTTTTATGAGCTTTTCAGTCAGACTGGCTATGGCCGGCTGGAGGGAGAATGTAGAAAGCTGAGAGCAGTTTGTGAGGCAGAGATGCTGCTGCTGGTGTTTGGAAATTCATAAGCCAGCTCGTAGGAATAATGCTTATTTTAGAGTGCACCGGGGGACTCAGGCCGAAAGGAGGGTGAACACCGGCTCCTGGTGTCTGCTTTGAGTGCATGTGTGCACGTGCACACACATACACGCTGCACACGTTCACACACGTGTCAGATGTTTTGCTGCATCCTAGCATTTTGTTTCTAAAAATGTCATACCTAGAAAAATTTAAGGCCTTACTAGGATGAATAACCACAGTGAATAGTGTCAGTCACCAAGTACTAAAACCTTTCCACATTTATCACTTTTTCTGTTTCTTTCCACGTGTGTGTACTGTACACCAACACACGTATGGATATACACATGCACGCGCACTCTGTGTTGTGTGTGTGCATGTGCATGTGTCTTTTATTTCTTTTTCTTTTTTTGAGACAGGGTCTCACTGTAGTTGAGACTGACCTGGAACTCACTATGTAGCCCAGGTTGGTCTTGAACTCACAGCGATCCTCCTGCCTCAGCCTCCTGAGTGCTGGGATTACAGGTGTGCACCACCATGCCAGGCTGTCTTTTTATTTCTTAAAGGCAGGGTTTAACTGTTCCAGGCTGACCTTGAACTTGTGGTGCTTCTCCTGCCTCAGCCTCTAGTGCTGGGATGACAGATGTGTGCCACCATGCCCGATTTATCTCTTCTCTTTTCTTTTTTCTGTTCCAAAATATACTTACATTAAATGAAGCGCATTTCAGTAAGTGCTGCAGTGAATGACTGCCTTCTGGGAAGCTTCACCTAGGCAAGGCTGACATTCACGGAGGAAGCGAGGGGAACGCGCATCCCATCATAGTGCCAGTCTTCGAGGACACTGGGCAGCCCCATGCCGGGGCGGGGAGCAAGCGCAAGCCCAGGCCGAGTTCAGGACGGGACGTCGTGGTTTCACCACAGCCTCATGTTAGGGGAGCAGGCGGCCCTCGAGAGACACCCTTCAGTGCTGCACTCTCCGTCGGCAGCGGGCAGCCAGGAGGACGGCCTTCGCCATGGCCAGCACAGTGCGGTCCCAGGGCGGGGACAACCCCGTGGGGCGCCCGCAGTGCCCTCGTACCATCTGGCGTAGCGCTTGATGTGGTCGTCCACTTCATTCCAGAAGTCCTCTTTGTCCCACAAGTGATGTTCCCCGGCAGAGATCTGAATGAGGAGTTCATCGTTTAACATTCTCGTGGGAGCCCAGCCAGTGCCATCATCCGAGTGTTCTCTCAGTACATGTAGACATTTTCCCCCATCTCTGTGATGTTGGGGTGCCAGACCGGGTCACCTTGGAGGTACCATGTTGTATACATCAGGAACTTCAGTTTCAGACTGAAATTTTCCATAATGGTAGTAGCCCTCATCGGGTTATGGTTAGCTCCAAGCAGTGCAGCTTGTTTGGGTTGGGAAAAATGCACTTTACAAGTACAAAACCTCTTTAACAAGCAGCTTGTCTCACAGAAACCCTCCGAGACCGTCATCCTGCTTCAATTTGCTTGCCAGTGTTAGCATCACTGCCACCTTTACGCTGGGCACCCGGGGACAGCGAGGCAGGCCGGCGCCCAACACTGGGCCCGCTGGGTGGCAGCGCCACAGCCCCTCACAGCTGCACCGCTCCCAGCAGCCGGGCTGGAAGTGGCAGGGCAGGGACTCCTGTCTTCTTTCTTAATCGTTGGAAAGTACATTGTCATGCTCTCCCAAGAGTAAGGGCTAAAGCAGTCCTGAAAACACTGTCACATGGCCTTTGTCCAGACTGCCTCAGTTGTCCCCAAATGGGCTGTATTCCCTTCGGCTTTTGAATTGATAGTCCTCCTCAGGAAGGCAGAAAGCATTCTAAAACATGAGCATCTTTTAATTCCGTAGATAAAATCTCACTAGTTGATTGAGTAATTATTTTGCAAGCCCCTTCTGTTTATTACCATGCTGGGTACTGTGTGCGCAGTGATGTTTCAGGGTTAGTGCTGAGGGACAGAAGGACAGACTGAGGAACTGGCAACGTCAGCGCAGATGCAGTTGCTGAAACAGACAGCAGAAACTGCTTGGGGACTCGGGGAGGCCGCCGGGAGCATTGCCGTAGTCCGGACAGAGACTGTTCCCGAGGTGATGCTGGGCGGCGTGGAAGGCATTGCCCACACGGGAGCGGGTGGTGGCCGCAGCTTCTGAGGGGCCTGGCCTCTCCGGCCTGGTGGGTCGGACCCCGTCCTGAGCTTGGAGCCTGTGCTTCTGGCTCCCGGGTCTGGGTTGACTTCTGTTAGCTGCAGACAGTAAGTAACTTTTCTCCTTTCCCAAAGGAACATATGGCACCTACTTGTTTGTACCTTTAAGATACCGAAAATAAGTTAAAATACACATTAGAAGTAAAAACCAAAGAATTAGATTTTTATTAGCATTTTATTTATGACAGGGTCAGGTGGCGCATGCTTGCAATCCCAGCATCTGGGAGGCTGAGGCAGACGGATCACAAGTTTGAGCCCAGCCTGGATATCTTAGTGAGACCCTGTCAGGGCAAAGGCCTGGTACCACGAAAGGAGGGGAAAAGCCTAACTGATGACGCTGGTATTGCCTGGTTCAGAATGGTCTCGTCTCTGGAGAGGCCGCCGTGGTTATGGCGATGGTATCTTCCCCGTACATCTTTACAGAGCAAGTGCTAGGCCTTACCCCCAGGTGGCCGTCCGTGTTCGTCACACTGCTGTAAGAATGCCGTCAAATCATTAGTTTTACCTTAGTGCCAGGCTTTAGAAGCTGTTTACTGGGTGATCGTTTTTAGTGTTTGAAAATTTAGAGCTGTTCTCCAGGGGCCAGGAGGCAGAACAAGGTCTGATTAGTTTGGTAGGAGTTGCCAGGTTGCAGAATAAGGAAATAGTCTTGGTGGAAACGTTAATTTACGTGCATAGGGAACCACACACACATAGATACAAACGCCCTGCCTGCCTGTGTGAGGACGACACCTGGACATGGCTCAGAGCAGGAGGGGGCTTCCCATGGGAAACCTGCAGCCTGGTGCCTTCTTCACACGCTTGTGTAGGGTGTGAAGCCCCGGCCCTCCCACCCGTCACTGGTCACGGGGCAGCGCGGGCGTGTCCCAGGCCGGCGGGTGGGGCCGTGTGCGGGCAGCCCATCCCCAGCGCCTGGCGTGGGACCCTCACCGTGCAGCCCAGTGCTCTGGGACGGGCTGCCTGTGCCTGTGCGTGGGGCAGTAAAGCGCCTGGCGTTGGAGTCGCTGCTAGATTAGCCTGGATTTATGAATTCTAGTCTTTGTTTTTGAAACCACAAAGTTTAATATTTAGGGTATCCAGACGGTTCTGTAGCACCGTCCTCTTTTGGCATCTCCTTTTTAAACATTATGTTCTTGTGAAGCCGTGGATCTTAAGTATTTATATAAGTTTTAGTTTTGTGAACGAGAAGACATTCCATCTTCTGTGTGTGTTGTAAACTCTCCGGATTGTTCACATTGCAGCAGAGCCTGTAGAGACCGTACAACCCCAGGCTAGGGACCTTGTCAGCCATTGCCTGTGGGGCTGCGCCGCGCCGGGTTAAAGGGAGGCGACAGAAAGCTCTGTGGCACGTGCTCGGGGCTGTGGTTAAGGTGAGGGATACCTCAGACCCGGACTCTTCTCAGGGAAGCACTCAGAGAAGCTGAATTTGACCGGTCCCTGCCCAGCTGAAGCTGAATTTCTGCCTGGGCTGCCGTCTTCTTTCAGATGCACGTTTACCACCTGTGGGTGTCCCTGTGGTCTGCTTGTTTCTGTTATTTTTTAAAAAGATATATATGTAGTACAGCAACACACATAAAGACTGTTAAGGGCTAGGGATGCAGCTCTGTGGCATTGCACCTACTGGCAAGTGCAAGGTCCTGAGTTAAAGAAAAAAAAAGTGTTAAAAAATACTTTTTTCCTCTATAATAAGTCCAAGTTCAGAATTATGTTATTTTAAGTAGTTTATTCTTTCAGTACTGGGAATTGAACCCAGGTCCTTCACACTGACCTGTGTCTGTAGTCCTTTTTTTTTTTTAACTTTTGATTTATTCATTTATTTATTTATTTATTTTTCTTTTTATTGAGTTTATTGGTACAATCTAGGTATACATTGCAGTTACATTCATCATTGGTATTCTGTACCTTTACATAACAGGTCTTGGTTCTCATTTTTCCCCGGTCCCTGCCCTCCCTTCACCCCCTCCTCCCCTTCCCATTTACAAACACTTTATTTTCATTTTCTCATATTTTTTTCCTCTCCCTTATTACCTTTCCCCCACCCTTCCCAGTTTCCCCACACCTTTAGCCCTTTACTTCCTATTTCACATTATTAATTGTCTTACTAGGATCCTGTGTACTATAGTTTTTCACACCAGAGAAACTATTCGGTATTTCAGTTAAACAAATCTGTATGAACATTAAAAATAGGGAATCCTAAAATAAAACTAAAAAGGAAAGTAAAAGAGAAAACGCAGTGATGTAAGATTAAAATAATACTTAATTCTGAAGATGAAAATGGTCCCTGAACATATTTAAATTGCTTCTTCCTCTTGTAGCCTCATCTTATTCTTTTTTTTTCATTTAGAGAATACTTTATTAGTTTCTGTAATCAAACCCATGTAGATATGACCTTACATATTTAATATAGTGTGTTACCTCTGTACAAATGGAAAAAAAATAAATAAAAATAAAAATTAAAATTAAAAATCTAAAAAATTAAAATTTCTGTACCAATATGGCTGTCAGTTTCTGTACAGTGCCAACTCAACACAGTAAATTGGGATAACTTTTTCCAAAGTCGACAGCACAGTTAAAGTTTCCAAAAATTCAAATTATATGTATGTATGTATGTATGTGTGTGTGTGTGTGTGTGTGTGTGTGTATATATATATATATATATTTATATAAAAAGACCAATAATACTATGTTATGCATCAATAGCAGCAATAACTTTTTATATTTTATTTTATTTTATTTGGGGGTGTGTGTGGGATTGAACTCGGGTCCTTGTTTACTTTTTATTTTGAGACAAGACCTCACTAAGTAGCTAAGTTGTCCAGACTGGGCTCGAGCTTGCAGTCCGGCCTCGGCCTTCAGGAGTGGGGCGCTCCCGGTGTGCATCGGCACCCCTGGCAGTTGCCTGCGTTCTTAGTGCGTCTGAACCCTGGAGCGCTAAGCTGGAAGAGAGTGAGTGGTAGGGAGGGTGCCTGAAGGCTGTGGTGTGAGCGCTGCTTCCCTGATGGGGCACTGATGAAGAGATTTAAGATGGACAGAATGGTGTAATGACTGAGGCAAGGAGCAAAAGGACGATTTAAGGCCAGAAAAAACACTCATGTTGAAATACTGGGTTCTCCGGGGACGTGTGACACCCATTTTGTCCGAGTGACGGTGTGCTAATGGGTTTCTTTCTTCCTCACTTCCCAGGTACCTCACATGACTGGCGGTTGCGGTGCGGTGTGGTGGACTTGTATTTCACACTCTTCGGCCTCAGTAGACCTTCCTGTCTACCCTTGCCAGAGCTTGGGCTGGTTCTTAACCTAAAGGAGAAGAAAGCCGTCTTGAACCCTACCATAATTCCGGAGGTGGTCACGGGCAGCCAGGAAGCTGCGAGTAATCCAAGCAGTCATGCACAGCTGGCTGGATTTCAGAACCCTGTAAGGCCCAGCAGTATTTTTAGAGCCATCTAGAGGGAGTGGGGGCCTGAGAGCTGCTAAGACAGCTCGCTGTGCCTGTAGACATCTGGCTGACAGCTGTGTGCAGTTGGTTTACTGCTCCTGTTGGCCGTGTCACTAAGCTAAACGAGTGCTGCCCTCTGCTCACTCCTTTGAGCAGAGTGACAGCTCCTGCGTCTTCCCGGCTCATCAGTGTGTTGAGGGCACACTGTTTGGACACAGTGCTGCCCTTTTCAACCACCCCCTGTATAAATCCTAGCACAGTGCTAAACATAAGTATGTGGCTGACCAATGATGTCGTATGAAAATAAAAACTGGATGCGTGGTCAGGTGAATGAATGATGTGCGCAGGTGGGAAGAGACAGTATGTTAATGTTTTTAAGGTGAGTTTGCTTTTAGAAAAGCTTTTCTGTCTTGCTGAGTACTATGAAATGGGCAGACTTTCTGTAAGAAGATTTGCTGGATACATATTAACCATTTTACTATAAAGAGAGTCTTCCAGAAACAATTTTCTCATTGATGACAAAAATATCTCCAACACATCAAGCTTCATTTTTCACCAATAAATAGACCAGATTACTTGCTTGGTAATTCTCTACTGGTGTTTTAACACTATTAAAACTCCTTTCTTTTGCCGGGAGTGGTGGCACACACCTGTAATCCCAGCACTCAGGAGGCTGAGGCAGGAAGATCGCTGTGAGTTTGAGACCATCCTGGGCTACATAGTGAGTTCCAGGTCAGTCTCAACTACATAGTGAGACCCTGTCTCAAAAAACCCAAAACAGCAAACAGCAAAACAAAACAACACAATTTTTTTCTATAGTTAATAATAACCATTTTAAAATATACTTATTTGCCTAAATTTTCTGAAACCCAGTTATTATTATAAATGCAAAACATGTCCTAGAGTTTGGATAAGAATAAAAAGGCCTTACATAGGCAAAGTCTAATTAGAAAGCCCTTTCTGATCTAAATATTTCTAAATCTGTAAAAATAAATGCTTATAATTCTTGCCCATATATGTTAATTTATCCACATTTACCCTTCAGGATACCAGGAGAAAGTAACACAGAGATATGCTCTTTTGGAAAAGCCTAGAATGGTGGTGGCGAACCTATGGCACATATACCCCAGCGGGCTGTTTGTTCTCATTGTAAGCGCTAAAAGGTTCTCCATCAGTGCTGCAGAAGTTCACTTAAATGTTTCCCTTCTTCTCCCTTGAAAGAACGGCAGACACGAGAAGGTTAAGTTTTGAGAGCCCGTTAATGATAACCCTTGGCTGCTGGGCATCCTCTACTCCATGGTGCACAGCTTCTTTGGAACCTAATCGGGATGTTAAATATTTGCTGCAGGAAGAGGAACAGCTTGCCAGGGAAGCTCAGGAATGTGTCAGCTCCTCGGGGGGAAGAGGAAGGCTGGTACACCTCTGAGTCCCCTCTAGAGGGGCAGATCCTGGAGAAGAGTGAGGATAGCAGTACAGTCTCCTCAGAATCCGTTAAGAGGGCTAGCTCAGGCCTGAGTTCCCAGCGCTCTGGAAGCTCCCAGGGTTTCTCCGTGCACATGAGTAGGAATGTGCGGGGCTGACTAGGTCCTGCTGAGGAGCTCAGCCGCTGGCTTCTCTTCCTGCTTCCTGCTTGCCCAGCTCTTCCCGGTTTGGGGAAGGAGCTGTGCAGGCTGCAGTTCCTCCAAGGCTCCCTTTCCCACCATATAGGAGCAGATTTTAGTTGCCACCATGCGCCAGGGCTTTCTGCCGCCTTGGGCGGCTGCACTGCGTGACCTTACTCCTCTCGGAATTCGGTGTGGGCTGTTGCGTGGCCCCGCTGCCACTTCCAGAAGGCCCAGAGCTGGGCGCGGAGATGTGACGACATTTCTTTTCTCTTGTCTCCAGTTCTCCAGCTCTCAAGATGAGGAGGAGGTGGACATGGACACCGTTCATGATAGCCAGGCCTTCATCTCCCACCACCTGAGCATGCTGGAGAGGCCGTCCACGCCGGGTAGGGGCTGTGGCGTGGCTGGGCCTCAAGGGGCAGCCTGGGGTACACACCTGGGCAGCAGGAACTGTGGGTCATGCCCCGTGATCACAGACACGAGCCAAGTAACAGCGTTTCTTCAGGTTTCTGTTGAATTTTGGCCCTTTTAAAACATTTGGCATACTGTTGAGTTTGTCTTTATAAAATTCATTTTTCAGGTTTCTTATAATAGCTTTAATTCCTTACGTGCACACTTGTGGTTGTGTCTGGTTTATTGTTAATAATGTAACTGTCCTTATTGTACATTGCTTTTCTGAGGTAGGTGCGGTCCGTACAGTACTTTCTCTTGGGCGCGCTTGGTCATGTTGCATTTCAGATGCAGACTTCAGCGTGCTGCTCCCGAGGTGTCGCGTTTCCTTGTGGAAACACAGGCAGTACTGGTGACGCACGCAGTTTGCCTTGCTAAGCGTGTAGGGTTGCGTCTGTGTACTTGTTGGAGGCATTGTGCCCTGAGTATCTTCGTGCAAAAACTCTTGTTCCTTTTGCTGTCCAGTTGTGTTGTTAGAAGGAAACCACTGATTACTGTTAGCTGCGTGCTTTCAGGTGAGATTAGAACTGTGTGAGTTGTGAGTATTTCTCGACTGCTAGGAAGAGATAAAGCTTTGGATGGGACATGAGGCTGCTGTGCGGGAGAGCAGTACATCGTGTCCCTGTGGCCTCATCCTGCTGCAGGACGCTCCCCACGCACTCCTGGCCTGGCCCCGCTGCGCCTTGCACCTTACCATCTCAGCTTTTCTCTCTCTTAATTTCATTCTGCTGCTTCTCTCTAGTGTCCCACATAGGATTGTGATTCTATGTGTTTACTTTTGATTTCTGCATTTTTATAAAGTGATAATTTTCTCTTAAATTCAATATTGTTTTTGAAATTCATGTTTTGAAATTCGTGCATAAGATGTACTTTGTTAACTCTCATTTATCATCTTTATTATCGTCCTCAGTGTAATGACTTAAAATTCTTACCAACTGCTGAATAATAAATACAGATTTACTTTTCAGTGCAGTTTTTCTGTGATGAGTGTATTTTTCTCTTTCTCTTCTCCCTCTTCCTCTCCTCTTTTCTGTTTTTTGCAAATCCCCATCATACCAGGTAGTTGTCTGTGATTTTTACATCTGAGTATGGTTTTTTCTTACTCTGCTTAACACATAACATTATGATGAAGTCCCTGTTACTCAACTTTGTTTTGCTTTTCGTTGTTGGCATTTTGTCTCAATTTTATTTCTGGAACCTGAATTGTTTTTTACTGTCCAGTTACCCTAAGAAGAGCTGACAGGGTGTGAGAACTGGCTTCAGGTAGGGTGTGGGCCTAAATGCATTTGGAAACTCACAGTGAGGAAGTCCTTGGCGTTTCTGAATGACCCTAGGTCTGCTGTGGCAGACAGGCCGAGGTTGTGCTGACCTCGGGATCCCTGCTGTGATGCTGTTCATGCTGGCTGTTAAACTGCTTGTGGTGAGACTCTTCAGTGCTCCCTAAATTATTTTGATGTATATTTCAGTAACATTTATTTATTTAGGTTTTTTGAGACAGGGTCTCACTATGTAGTTGAGACTGACCTGGAACTCAATATGTAGCTCAGGGTGGTCTCGAACTCACAGCGATCCTCTTGCCTCCGCCTCCCGAGTGCTGGGATTACAGGTGTTTACCACCATGCCCGGCTGTTCAGTAAATTTTATAATGGAATCCATCAGCAAGTTTTGGGGCAGCAGGCAAACTGTACTTTGTGCAAAGTTCCACATGAAAAATAAAACACAGGCATCGAGACTGAATTTTGTGTTCAGTAGCCTGTGTGGGCTTCTCCCTACTCCGGCTCCTGTCCCACTTGCTCCACACGTGTTGTCCTCAGGTGTGGGCTTCCAGGACCACGACAGGGCACCGAATCAGGAGTCCCTCGTGTTTCATGATAACGTTCTTTTTGTTACTGCCGTCTTGCTGTGGTTGAGCTATTTCTGTTTTAAGGCTGACTTGTAAACACCTGTGAGAAAGCTTTCTGCTTTTAGGAAACAAAGCTCTACATGGCTGTCTTCTCTCTGGTTTGGATTTCAGGGCTCTCGAAGTTCCGCCCGGCCAGCACCCGGTCCGCCCTGCTGCCGCTTCGCACGCCAGGATGTGAGGGCGCCCCCACCCCGAAGCCCGCGTGGGGCCTGGACCTTGTACGCAAGGGAGCAGGTATGCTCGCTCGGGCCGGTCTTTCCATCCTGGCTTTGTTTTGTTTTTCACAGGGGAGTAAATTTATGAACTTCATAGACATTACTTTATTAATTTTTAAAATGCTTAAAACTATCAGTCTTCATAATTGCTTAATACATTGATTTGTGTTATCTACATCTAAAGATTGTTTGGGAGCTTTTCTATTTCAAAAGTAATACATACACTGCTGTTACAGAAAACTTGGAGATAGCAAAAGTCAACGAGGAAGCGTCAGCCCTCGTTGTGCTGTTACATTAACGTTCTGCTCTTTCCTAGCAGTGTTGCTTCTAAATATTCTGACAAGTGATAACTTCAGTAAAAATCACAAAACCTTATCATCGCACCTTTTAAAATACAAAAAGTCAACCTTTATCCCCCAGTGTTTGATGATTCATTTGTCTGATGCTCTACCTAGATAAAACTTTGACGTATTCTCTTGTAAACTCGTCCACAGTAATTAGGCTGAAGTTTACGAAGGTGGTGATTCGGGTCAGGTGTGTTTGTTAGCTGTTCTGCTTTACACGATCTTCTGCTTGCTCTGTTCTTCTGTTGCTTACAAAAAGATGATAATCAAATAATAAACATCCATGCTGATGAACTACCACGAGATGGAGATTCAGTCCTCAAGTTTTGAAAGAACAGGGCTTGAAAAACAAGATGGTATTTAAGCAGCACCATCTTTAAAGAATAGTTTTCCCAAAGGTCATTAGTTAGACTTTCCCACTGAGGAGCCTGTGGCGAAGCTCCCGCCTAGGGATGTGCTGTGCCTCATGCGAACAGCGCAGTGCTGTGTAGGGATGGATGGGGAGGCACCTAAAGCCACACCTCGGAAATGCAGGCGGGAGACCCCAGGCTGCTGTCTCTAGTTCTCCACGTGCTCCGTGCCTTTGCTCTGAGAGATTCACAGAATGTTTTTGAGCCAGAGACTCGGGCCTTTATTTTGATGAATGACTTTACGTGTCTTGGCTCTCGATGACTTATGTTCTCTTGCTTTTGTTTTTTATTTTACCGTGATGGTTGTTGGACCTAGGTCCTCGTGCATGCCACCACTGAACTACACCCATATTCTGTATTGTCTTGGTTTTGGGTTCTATCTTTGCAGCTTTATCATAATTATACTTGTTAAAATCATGAAGCATTCCCAACATTTTTAAAGATTAAAAAGCCTGTTGAACTTCAAAGTTCTCGGATGTAGTTTGACTGATGCTTCTACCTGCCTTCCTTGCCTCTGATGAAATAACTCCTGTCTGGTGTTCTAAGAGTCAAATCAATTCCTGTTCCAAAAAGAGTGTGAGCGTATGTATTTGGATTTTCTTTTTTTTGTTGTTGTTTTTTTTTGAGACAGGGTCTCACTATGTAGTTGAGACTGACCTGAAACACTATGTAGTCCAGGCTGGTCTCGAACTCACAGCGATCCTCCTGCCTCAGCCTCTGGAGTGCTGGGATTACAGGCGTGCGCCACCACTCCCAGCTTGTTTGGATTTTCTTAATGAGGCACATGAACCCCTGTAGAAGCAAATCACTTTTTTTGTGCTTACCGATGTACTTTTGTATCATTGTTTGATTTTGCTTCTAAAAACATATTTTCAGGTTTTTTGCAATCTCCACAGATTTTAGCTCTTATGGCATCTGTGATAAGACTGAGGACAGAAAAATACAGCATTAGAGCTGAGGAATAAGCAGGAAAATCCTAGCTTTTGTTGCTGTCCATGTAGGATGCTCTTATATCATGAGTCAAATGTGTAATAGTTATGTGGACGGCTCCGTCAAACTGTAATTTTGAATATATTCCTTAAAGTATGCTTATCACTTCCTTTCATTGTGTTTGTAGTATTCTGTACCTAGGACACTGAGCACATCTTCAAATTCAGCAGCAGTAGTGGAAAACCTTCATCTTACAAAGGGTGGTGTTCTAAACGTCTGTTTTTACTTGTATTGATGTTGGAAGTTTGAATTTAGTTTTTCCATAAACATTTTTGTGTTGGATAAATAGCTCATGCAGAGCACCCCCACACAAGCCAAGTGCTGCTGCACACGAGAGGCCTTCCTCCTGGCCTCTGTTGCCTGAGGACTGCAGGAAAGTTCCTGGGAGTTGTGGGTAGAGAAGGCGTTTCCTTTCTCCCGCCTGCAACTGGGAGCTCCTGCAATCTGCAGGTTCCGGGGTGAAGGCACGTGTGGGTTTGAGGGCCTGTGCTTTGCAGCCGTCTCCTGGCTGCATCTGGGAGGGTGGGTGTGAGGCGAGACTGGAGAGCTGTCAAATAGCGACAGCGAGAGGTGACAGCAGGGAGGACATGGGGTGGGTGTGGCCCGTGCTGGTGAGTCATGTTCTCCACATGCGCAGAGGGCTGGAAGCTCCCTCCTCCTCCTGCAGCAGGGGATGGCAGGATGGGCAGCCAAGAGGGGAGCCCTGCAGCTGCCTAGCGTGAGGCAGAAGAGGACACAATTCTGATGCTGCAAACTTTTAAAAAATTAAAACAGTTGTTTTAAAGCTGGGAAGCCCTCACTAAAGGTCTTTCTTTTGAAACTCAGTATGGAAACCAGACTTAGGTTCTTTTTATCCTTAAATTACAGTGATATAGTTCAACATTTTTTATAGCGATCTAAAGAATTTGGAGAACAAAGTTCATACCTTCCCTCACAGAAACCTCAGGTTTTGTGTTAACTTTAGACATACACCTAACATGAGTGGAGTTAGTAAAATTGGGATTATCTGCTACTTTTTTTTTT